TTATTATTATTATTATTATTATTATTATTATTATTATTATTATCATTATCATTATTATTATCATCATCATCATTATTATCATTATTATCATTATTATTATCATTATTATTATTATTATTATCATTATTATTATTATAAGAGCCATTTATATAATATGACCCCCTTGGTATTCTTTCATACATCACAAACATTCTAGAAGGAACAATTTTTACAACTAATTGTCTTTAATTGTCTTTCGCCAGAGCTTTGTGGTTCAGGTGTAAATGAGAGCTCACGGGAAACATAGGTGTTCGTGTTTTCTCAGTTCTAAAACTTTTGGAAGGTAAGTCTTTGGCTTTCATTTATAGTTTGAGTTTGCTAAGACCAATTCTAATTCTTAACGAATGAAATACAATATGTTTTAAACATTGTTTTTATTCTGGAATCTGTAAATCCCAATCCCAATCTTTCGAACGTATCAAAGACCGGTTTGCGATGGTTGTAAAATGAGCCCCAAAGTCTCGTGCATGTATGACCCAAACTTTAACAGGCTTGTATAATATACACGACAACTTCTGTTCGTCCAATTTGTTTCAGATGCCATGAAAAGTACTGGATCAAAAAAAAAAAGGAACTAGTGATGCTACAGAATAGCACAGACTTTCTTCTACCAGTTAGTTTTTTAATTTCTTTGGTTGGGGCTAGCTTTTTGGTCAGATGCCATCTATCGCTAGCCAGATGCCATCTATCGCCACCCAAATATAATTTTTCCACATTTGCCCAACTTTCCAGTTTTATAATGACAGAATTGAAATATTACTTTAAGAATATTATTGAAGAGTAAAACCCTGTCCTACATGGAAATTTTCGTTGAAAAATTTGTTGCCATTTTTACGAAAATTGTGTTGAAGAATTGCTGAAACCTTATTGAACATGCAATTTTATTCATGTGAAGACATGTAATAAAATAAAATTAGATATTTAAGTTATAAATAAGATATATTACAAGCAAAAAGCTGTTAAAATAATTCATTTGTTTGAATTGGGATGTGAAATTTTGGTTATATCACTCCAAGTATATGAATGAGGTTTATCTGTAGTTTACCTGCAAAAATCCAGTGGATGTGAGACGACTGTCACTGGTAGACATGGTAACATTTGTGCGATATACAGTGCCTTCAACTTCCAGAACTCCTTGCACTAAATAGAACTTTAATAAGTCAAATGGAGAGAAAATGTTCACAGATGCAGTCCAAGTTTGAAGAGCACTATCATCTTCCCCATCATATGTATAATTTACTGATGCCCCTGCCTAAATGAGAGACAAAATGTTATATTATGTATCTTAAATCTGTGGAATAACTGAAAAGATATTATGGGAAAAAGTTTTAAATATCTCCCTGTCTTTGAATTTCATACCTCTTTCCATTGTTTATTATGAAGAACTGCAACATAAACAGCTGTTTTGAACTGAACACCAAGATCTATCTTATAATCATAAGTGGAATGTATTTCTTCAAACTGAGGGTATGGTGTTTTAAGATGAAATTTGTTAGAAATAGTAAACACGTCCTGGAATATGTAAGAAAGATTTTTAACTTTCAATTATTTCTCAATATACTAGAGGTAGATCCAGGGAAAAACTTCTTTAACCAAAGTCAACAATTTTGTTTGTTTGTAATTTTACTCAATTTTTTTCAAAACACATACTACATATTGATCACATCTAAAGGAGTACACCCATTATGAATATACAATTTGATTTTTCAATCTAACAAAGAAAGTTTATTATTTCAAAACAGTGGTACAACCAGAATTTCCCTAAGGGGCTTAGATGTAGAGTTTAGCCAACTAGATATTTTTTTATAAAGAATTTTGTATTTGGCACTGGATTTAAAAGTAATTTTTATTTGTTAATTTATCATATCTATACACATAGACCTACATTCAAGTTGAATAGTAAATAATTTTCTTAACTATTGAATTTTTTTCTTAGATATAGCAAAAAAAACCATATTTGGGAATTTGCCACTACTTCAAAAATATTGGGGAGAGCAGGATCCGAATTGAAGTTTTTCCCTCTCCCTGAAACATGTTAGCCAAAGTGCTTAACTATGCTCCACGAAGTCAGGGAAATTAAGCAACTCGAGACTCCACAGATTACTAGCTGGGTGACTGTCTAGGATCCCTGGTTACTAATGGTGTTAACTACTGTACTAATGGTAATCCAGATATGCTCAATACCCCAGAAGGGCTAAGAGACGTGTTGCAAAGATGCACCAAGTAAAAACACTTTAAAAAAAAAATAAAAAAAAATAAAAAAAAAAACTTTCTGGATCCATCTCTGTGATAAACTGAGTTTTTGAACAATTGACAAAATTCAGTCTAATTTTCTAGCTTTATTAAATATGAAAATATCATTACTTCAAAATCCAGTTCATCCAAAAGGACTGCTGTGCCATTTGGAAGAGTGAGTGTGGACGCAACGATGTAAGTTGTATCTTTTTCCTCGATTTCTAGGGTGCCTTTAAGGGTTGGGTGGAAAAATGTATCTACTTCAATGGAGCCCTTCCAATTTATGAGTTCTTCATCTTCATCATCATATGCTTCATCATCATAAAGTTGTTTTGTAGCTAATTTTAAATCCGGTGGTGGAGCTGGATTTGACGCACCATATACTTTGAGTCCCAACTGCCACAAAAATAGAATCAAATATACAATTTTGTTTTACCATTTATACAGTTTGAATTATTTGTACTGAATAATTGATAGTTCTTTCTTTTTAAAGTCGTTGGACAATTAAGTAAATATACTTATTTCAATAGGTCCATGCTATTTAATAATGTATTAATCCTACATAAAGGATCCATGTAATAAAAAACATATTCAAAATATTTTAGAGCATTTATTTATGAATGGAAATAGTTTAAAAGGTTATATTTATTTTGTAATGAATTAAAGAAACCAATATTACCTTTTTATCGCCAACATTAAATCCCAAGGAAAAATCCAGACCTTCATGTTTTATCAATTTTGCAATGACACCATTTTCATGAAATCCTTCAAGAGGTGTGAAAATTTTATAACAGTATTCAAAATCAGTTATATTTTCATAGTGCCATTGCCCAAAGAAACCAATTGTTAGATTATTCCAACCACAACGAAAATCAACCTGTAAAGGAGATATACTTTTATCCACATTTACACTTACTTCAACTCATAATGTAGAAATGAAATACTACTTACTGTTTCTTCTTCAAGTTTTGCTACAAGAATAGCTTTTTGAAGAAACTCAATAGGTGTAGCTACATTAAATTTTATATCAAAATTGTTGGTATTTTGGAACTGGAACAATATCTCTATTCCTATTTGTGCATGTGGAGAGCTAATTTCTGCAACTAAATGCTTTCTTTCACCAGAATATCCAAATCTTCCTGTAATCTTGCTGTAGTTTTCCATGGGAGTTGTAATTTCAAACACAAGCATGTTATCCGTTAACTTCTTTACGTATCCTAGACAAATTAGATCAGTGTAAATAAGATGAAGGTTGCCATCAGAGCTGATTAAATATCTTGAGGGGTCCTAGTATAACCAATCACTGGGGTCCCTAAGTAGCATTAAACATATTATTTTTCATCTACATACGTTGAATAATAATATTAAGCACATTCAAATTAAATATGAAAATAAACTACAATAATCTTTGCAATTTAAAAACTGAATGTTGAATAATTTTAACTAATTTATACACTAATATTAACTGTGGTTTAAACAATAATTGGGAGCCACTATTCAGTGGATGCTCTAAGAATGTAGTCAATCAGTTCATATATAAAAACTTCCTGTATGTCTTCAAAAATTGTTTTTTTACATCTTCTTAAAAATAAATTGTCTAAACTTGAGGAACAACAATGAAAAATCTCAAGTCTCATTCTTGATATTTTGTTTCTGTGTTATAAGCACTTCTTAATCATTTATTTTTTAATAATGAAAATATAGGAATTTATAATGTAGTTTTTCTTTTTAACTTACCATTAATTTGGAAAGTATATTTTCTTCTATCAATTATCAGATCTGCAGCACCCTTCACATCCCAAGCTGAATTAACATGCATTCTACACCGCATCATCCCTTCGTTGTAACCTGGGTAGGGTGACTGTAGGTTGACCACTCCTGTCAAATTTGATGAATTCTCATCCTCTTCTAGCTGCCAAGTGCTCTTAATGGAAATTGCCTTTTGTGGATAGTGCTGAGGAAATGCAAAAATTTGAACCATAAAATAAGTAAACATGAATATCTGAAATGTTACAACTGTCTATTTGAAAGATGAGGTAACAACCAACTTCATTTTCTGAAACATTTCTTTTAGAATGTGCTGTTAATTGTTTCAGAATATCAACTAACTAATGACTCAATTATGAATAAATACAATGAAAATTGTGTGATTTCATTAGTTTCATAAGTACCATTTATAAAGGATCTTTGTGTCATTTTTGAACTCCAATTATCATTAAAACCTCATATTGAGGATCTTATATTGAATGTTCATAGAACTCTTGGTTTTGCTATTAGTCTTAGTCAAAGATAAATTCCACAAATGTTTTTAAAATATACTTTTTTGTCCTAACAAGATCTCAATTGAAGTGTGCATCAACAATTTGATTCCTGAAACATAAAGCTGTTCTATTGGCCTTGGGAAAATGTCAATGTCAGTTTACTAAATACCTCAAATTTAGGGAGTTTTGAATTTATCCACCAAATACTTGTTGATAAGAAAGATTCTAAGATAGAACTAACAACCTGCTGGATTTGAGAACATGGAATCTGAGGGGATTAACTCAAAAAGAAGTGAAATTAAACACAGAACTTAGGAAAAGAAAGCTAGACATAACTGTCATTACTGAAATGAAAAAGAAAAACATATGGTCTAAAGAACTAGAAAATCATATTATTATTTATTCAGGAGTAGAGGAAGAAGAACATGCTGCAACAGGAGTAGCCTTAATAGTAAATAAGGAATGGAAGCATTCCATAGATGAATAAAACTAAGATTTCTTAGATTAATATCAAGACTAATAACGATGAAAGTAAAAGTGATCTAACACAAACTAAATATAATAGGAGTATATGCTCCAGTTGAAGGATGGGCAGAAGAATCTGATTGTTTCTACAAAGATCTACAACAACTCGTAGACCAAGAAAGTAAAGATGAACTCCTCATTATATCAGGAGACTTTAATGCCAGAATTGGTGATAATGAAATACCTCCATGCAAAGGTTCAGAAGGGAAAAATCAATAAATGAAAAAGAGAAAACCCAAATTAACTTTTCCTGTTCAGTAACTTAAGGATAACAGATAGTTTTTCAAACATAAAGAAAATCATAAATTCATTTGAGAAGCAAGAGGCACAAGCTCCGTCTTAGACCATGTAATAGTCAGCAGAAAGTTATTTAACTATGTCAAGAACATGTAAGTATTTTGATGTCATGAAATAGACACAGATCAGTATTTGGTAGAGAGCAAAATTAAACTAGCATTACAACAAACAAAAACTAAGGAAAATAGTAATAAAACACCCTCAAAACACAAGGGATTCCTTCTAGAAGATGAAAGTATTAGAACCTTATATGAAAGAAGACTGAGAGAAAAACTACAGAAGGTAAAGAAACAAAATATTGAGACATTTTGGAGCTCATTTAAACTAACTATGATTGAAGCAGGAAAAGAGAGTGTAGTCTGTAAACCATTCAAGAAAACTAAATGTTTAAAAATGTGAGGCAATGATATAAAAGATATGATAAATCAAAAGAAGAAAGCATACCTCCTAAACTTCCTCCTACACCTACCTCTAAAAATGAACAATGAACAACTACATGGAATATAAAAGATTACGGATCAAAGTGTGATGTGTTAATCAAAACCACACGAGAAAGAACCAGGCCCCCAACGAATGGGTTTCAAAGTGTTGAAACTGCTGCACATGAATATGAAAGACAAAATCAGACTAGCATACAACTTATTTACAAAACATGATCTCCACCTAAATCAGGTAGGCAAGCAGGAAGTTGGTGCCATGTTAACACAACAAGTGTTGAGCTCTTTTCCATCCTCACAGCCACACACCTATCCCACCATCTACACCTACCTGCACACTACCTTCTCCATCTACACCTCCTCCCTCCCTACCATTTTCATTTCCTATCCCAACAGCTCACTCAGCATCACTCTCACACCTGCTCCAACTTCCTCTCCTAGTCCAAATTCTCAGCTAACATACAATTTTTTTGCAACTGAAGACCACGTCCCACCCACAACACACAAAACAAATATCTATATGTACTACATCAAAATGTTCAGTCTTTAAGAAGCAAGCTCACAGATTTAGATATATTACTTGAACAAGACCTACAACACTTAACAATATTATGCTTTAGTGAACATAGGTTAACGCAACAACTAGATAGCACTCACATTCCAGGTTTCACCCTAGCTAGTGGGTCATATAGGGAAAGAGGCAAATCACATCATGGTGATACTTGCATCTTTGTTAAAAATAATATTAATTATGTGTCAATCACAAATTACTCCTCTTTCTTAAAAGATAAAGACTTTGAAATATCTATTATAGGCTTACTGAAACAAAGAGTATCGATTTTATGTATGTACCACAGCCCCACAGGAAACACTGTTTTTTAAAAAAATCTTGAAATTGTTCTTGTTAGACTTAAAAGACGCAGAAACTATAAAATTACATTATGCAGCGATTTCAATATAAACAGTTTGTCAAAATCAAATGAAGAGAAACTATTCAAAAATTTACTTAAATCTTTCAACTTACAAACTATTATAAATCAACCTACCAGAATATATAAAAAAAGCAGTACCACAACTGATCAAATAATAATAATAGGTTTTATACATGTAAAAATAAAAAATAAGAATCTAAATTGTTTCTAATATTTATTAATGTCTCATTAATTGTTTTTGTTATATTTTACTGTTCTTTTTGTTTTATTATATAAATAGTTGTATTAATAGTTTATTACATGAATGTATATGAATATTATAAGAATAATTTCAGTACCAACCTGTACATATAACAATGTATCATATTTGTTATTGCTTTGTTTATGAGAGAAACTTCCTGACATTGAGGACACCTGAGGTATTGTGCTAATTATGGAAGCATTGAGTTCACAACTGAACTCTTCATCTGATAACATATAATCTCCATAGAGGTTTAGTGCAACATTCTGGTCATCATGCCAGTAAACACTAGCATTAGCTTGAACAAGATTGTCATGGTGGCGAATTCTATGAAGAAATTAGACAGACTTTGTTAATTTAAATGAACAAATTTTGCAGCAACTTTTCATAATTAATTTATTTGAGTTACCCAGCAGAAAGAGAAGTCCTTTTCCAGCTTTCAAAAGGAGTAAGTAACTCAGACTTAAGAGCAAGCATCAAGATGTCTTCATACTCGTAAATTGCACCCACAGTGATTTGAATAGAATCTCTTGGACTCCATTCTAAGTGAGCTGAAGATTCACATCTAGAATCTTAAAAAAACAAACAACTTTTATTATACTCTATTTTTGAATGAAGTACTATATTAAAACTTCTATGATGATCCTAAATGAAGAATATTGTGCTTTGTCCATTTCGCTTGAGAAGTTTTTCATGCAAACAGAAAAATAAATAAAAGATTCAATGTTAAAAAAGTCTTAGTCACATGTATTGCACAATTATTATGTGGCACATCATTATAAGGTTAAAAATTAAACAAAATACTTAAAGAAATAAGTGGAACTTTTTTTTTTCAAAGATGAATTACAGTAAATGATTTTTGCTTGGAAAAGTCGTATCAGTTCACTGATATGGTGATGAATTACAGAAGGAATTAAATAAATATGATGCTAAATTATCCAGTAAGCTAAGTAACTGGCAAATTTCCAAGAAATTAGAAAAGTTAAAAGTAGATGATTTGGTGGATGAATGTGAGAACCAGTCTTTTAAAATAACTAAACCAAATTATTTTCAATATAATTGGTACTATAAAGGTAAAAGATTTTTTTAGAAATAATTGTAACCTTTCAATGCAAAAAGATAGTTTCCTCTTATAGTTCTGCCTGGATATGATACCATAACATAACCACTGTAATTCATGGATTCTGGATGCAGATATTGCACAGCAACTGCCACCTTCTGGCTAGGATCTCTGTTAGCATCCCATTTCACTTCCATGCTGGCTTCTTTTCTATCTGGTTGGTTTAAACTTCTTAACATGAAGTGAATATCACGTATACTGCAAAAAGTAATGATGATTTTAAGATACATTTGCATATTTATATTACATACAAAATATAATAAGTTTTATTTACGAATGAGGAAGAACATAATTCTGAAAAAGTAAATTTCTGGTTAAGAGAATAAATTACATTTGACTTGATGCTTACCGATCAATATGCAGTTGAGCAGTGATCTGACGGTGCTCTAGAAGACTAACTACAGTCAATAAAGAGTATACTTGAGACTTAATTCTTAATTCTATAGATGTTTCATAATCAGATGGTTGTGGATTGGCATGTTTTAAAATTATGTAGTATTTGTCTTTAGCATGATCCGCCTGTAAAAAAAAAAATTCGAATTTTTATATTCTCTTTATATAAGAAAATGTATTGGTACTTTTAAATTTTATTATTACAAACCGTAAGTTCAACTTTGAATTCTGTTTCATCTCGAAGATATTTATAGGATGCAGCTATCTCTTCAAAACTTGGTGATTTCAGTAACAATTTTACATTATGACTTGATGCTTTATGTGTGCTTTTGTCTTGATATAAACCTTTTGCAGTTACTGTATGTCCACTGAACCATGATGCTGTTACATCAATCTAAAAATACACAAAGAAGAAAATTATTAACAAAAATCATTCAAATTGCTATGTTCAAATGAATTCAAGTCCTTACATTATATTCATTTGGAGTTTTCTCATGAAGCTGTAGATCAAGAACCATGGGATGAAATGTTGGTAAAGTTACATTTAATTTTGCTTCTATAAATGTGAGAGCACTTCTGGGTATTTTTAAGTCAAGTGTTATATGAATATCTTTCCCTAATTTCAAGGAAGAAAATTCAGATTAGTAAGAACATATAAACATATAAATAAAATTTAAGAAAATAATATTTCTATAAATATACAATTTTATTTTAAAAGGATCAAACCTGTGGCATATCTAATAATGCTGCGAACATTAGTTTCTGGACCAGATGACAAATAACTTACAGTAAATTGAAGATTTATATCTGTAATAGGTTTAGTAACACGCACTGCTAAATTAATTTTTGTAGTATCATAAGACTTTGCAAATGTAAACTCCATTGACAATGTGAGTTTATTTCTTATATCATCAATGTTCAAACCATAGTTAATCTCAAATAAACATTCAAAGTGTCCATTTGAACTCTGAAAAAAATAAGAAATGATTGTGTAATTAAAGTAATTGTTTTATTTTCTAAAATAAATCAATTAATACCCAATCAGTGCATCAATTAAATAAATGTATAAATAATCTATAATCAGTCATATTATTCCCCTATCATCAATTGGCCTATGAAATTATTAAGTTTAATACATAAAAATTTAAAATAAATTCAGCTTGTAAGAACAATTGTGACATTTGAAAGGCATTGTACTTCATAGACAAAGAACAATTATAAATTACTCACTATCAGTAACATAACTATCTTTTCCACCAACTCTTTTGTCTAAAAGTCATATCAGTAGAAATGCATGGTCATGTGACTATGAAACTAACAATTATGAAAATAAAAATAGGCAGGGGAGAATGAAAATAATTTATAAGATTTTTATTTCAATATGATTCTAATGCAATGATATACTCACTTGGTAATGTAGTGAAGATTTAAAGTTGTACTTTGGATAAGCAGATGATATTATTTTTATCTCTCCTTCTGCACGGGTGTACGATTTTGAATGACGATGAGTAAATGAGGCATCTAATGTAACTGTTTCATCTGTTGCATTTTGGAATTTGTAATTAAGTTTCAAATAAAGTTGCACTGTTGCTTCTCCACGTTTTACATACCCTGTCAACTGTGATTCGAGTTTACGAGTTTTAAATTCCAGATTCACATCGCATTGTGAAACACCCTTCTTTTCTATTAACTGTAATGTTCCTGCAAATATCATTAATATTAATCAGTAAATTTTCTATCTATATATTATACAATAGAGGGCAATTTTGAAAATTCAATTGTGAATTGTCTTACCAGAAAGTTCAGCAATCCCTGTACTGTTGATTTCTAAATATAATCTTGGTAAATATTTGAATCCATTAGTTATTTTCTCTGTCTTTAAACTCAGTTCCATATCAACATGTTTCTTGTCATTTATATTTAACTCAAAGAGAATATGTTTGTCACCTTCTGTATTTTTATACCTTCCTGAAATATTTGCAAATATTTTCAAATAAATATGATACAGACAAATATACTTGTATCTGTTTATTCTACTGTCAAGTACCATCAATAGGAAATATATTGTAAAATTTTATTTTTGAAGTTTCCTTACCCAAAGCTTCATATTTTACTTTAGCTGACTGTATAAGTAGAGTTAAATTGTTGGTATTGTTATCAAGGTGAAGACGTGCGCTAAGTTCACGTTTTTGCGCTGATCCTGGTGTATCAAATACTAAGCTCACCACACTGGAGTTGGTCTAATGAAAAAAATATTTAACATTATTCTAGAAGCAATCAAATTTTAAACAATACTATATATCTCAATGAAAAAGGTATTTTATAAACGTGACAAATTTCATTGCCTGGGAGGGCTTCTTATTTTACTACTGGGAGAAGTCTAAAGATTATTTTCCAATTCTGCTTTGAAACAACATGGGAAACATTTTCGACTAATCCCATATCTTTCATTTAGTTGTGACAGTATTGCGGGTTGCGTCTGTTAAGTTCAAAATACGTAGTACCTACCACCAATTTGCGTCGTAATTTAACGTGTGAATTGCATATAAAAACAACGATTTTAAAGTAAATATATCACCCGGATTTTAAAGATATTTTAACAAAATATTTCAGAAGAGTCCATAAATTTCAGTGATGAATCTACACAGCGACGAATCTACATAAATGCAGGTGTCACAAGAGGCGGATAAAACGATTCCGGCGGAGAATGGGATCAGTTTCAACTCGGACCACCAGTTATATTTTTGAAATAATATATAATTTGTTTAAAAATAGATAACTTGAAATAAACTAGTGGTGCTACGTAATGGCACAGATTTTCGTGTAGTACTAGTTTTCTAATTTCTTTGTTCTTGACTAGCTCTTCGATTTTGTATCACTCTCTTCGCAGATACCATCTATCGCCGTCCAAAGTACGGGCGGATACTTTTGAAATTTTCGATAATTCAGGGTTAACCGTGAAAATCAGACCTATACCACTTTTATAAGTGTATTTTACTCTATTCTTAGATGAAATTTAAAGAAAAACTGATGAGCCGTTTAATTTAGCGGAAAATTTAGAAAATGTCCGGGGGGCTTCAAGTAAAGTACCCCCAAATTTTAAAGAATATTTTTCAAAATCTCAAAGCTTCGACTCAAAGCTTCGACGTTTCTTCAATTTGGAAAAAATCCTACGTATGGTGTAGGCGCTAGTGGTGTTTACAGACGGATGGACGAGTAGACAGACAGACAAACGGACGTTTTGAATTTTTTGTTCTTTCTGTCGCATGAAATCGTTCATAATCGGGCACTTTCCGGCACAACTAATGGCGTATTAGCATTTACGGCACGGATGATTGCGTCATCACACGTTCAGCCAATCGCAGCGCCAGAATCGTGGAGAGGTAAAGGTAAACGGAACTGCCGACTAACGTTTTTCGCACAGATGTTAAATACCCGAGACGTCACAAGAAGGTTGTTTTTGCAGATTCTCTTATAAATGTATAATGCTGTTTTACGAAAAAATGGCGCATGCAACCCGTTAATAACGTTGCTTTATTGCATTCGTACAAATATGAAGACTCGCTCCTAACGTCGCTCGATTTCAAAACAAGTACTCACGCAATAAAGCATAACATTATAAACTAACTGTATAAAGTACTATTATTTCTTTGTTCGCTCGTGGTTACCTGCGTGGTCTCCCACTTGTACTCGAGCAGGTACTTGTTGGCGGTGAGGTCGGCCTTCTGGAAGGCGAGCGAGAAGCGCGTGGGGCCGTTGAGCAGGAAGCCGGGCGCGTCGGCGCGGTGCGACGCGTTGGGGAACTGCAGGTCGGCGCAGAAGTTGAGCCCCAGCGTCTGGTCAAGCGCGGGCCAGCTGCAGAAGCGGCGCTCGACGCGGCCGCGGGCGTCGCCCCGCTGAGGCAGCTCCACCGCGCCCGCCCCGGCCAGCACCAGCAGCTCCGACCTGCGCAGTCACGGGCTCAGCTGCAGCGCCTCTCGCGAACGCTGGGCTTAATCGGACCTCTCGGGCTTAAATATCGTGGGCAATGAAAATGAATGAATGAATGAATGAATAAACGAATGAGTGAATGAATGAATAAACGAATGAGTGAACGAATGAATGAACGAATGAACGAACGAACGAACGAACGAACGGACGAACGAACGAACGAACGAACGAACGAACGAACGAACGAACGAACGAAAGAAAGAAAGAAAGAAAGAAAGAAAGAAAGAAAAAGAGAAAAGAAAGAAAGAAAGAAAGAAAAAGAGAAAAGAAAGAAAGAAAGAAAAAGAGAAAAGAAAGAAAGAAAGAAAAAGAGAAAAAGAAAGAGGAGAGGTCCTTCTTTCTAGAGGGTTATAATTATTTCTCTGATATGAAGCTCGGTAGTATTGTGGTATATGTTTTGATTATATTGGTTTTGATATATTTTATGTGCACAGAATTATTATGTTTGAACACTTTGTTTTGTTATTCTTGTATGTTAATTCGAGTGAGCAAAACGCGTCTCGGTGCTGACTTTTTTGTGTACAAAGGTGATGGAGATCCCACAGTCTTTTTCTAGGGGATCCCTAATTATTTTGCCCACAATGTTAAATGCAATGTTGAATGTTATATGTTGTTGGCAAAATAAAGACTCCTTGATTTTGAATTTCAGACAACTGCTTATTTGACTCTTTTGATCCAGTAGTAGACACTCGAAATTGATTGATCTTTTCGGACAAATCAACTGATTTGGTTATCATTCCCGCTAGTGTAATAAATGTATTGTCCCGAGAGGTGGGGGTGTTCCTCCCCCACTGAATGGTGAGATCCGGCGCCGGGATTTCCTTCTCCAGGTATCTGTCCCCAGCGTGGTAACAACCCAGCTAAGACAAGCTCTAAGCCCCCGACTGGTCTCCCAGCATGTGTGATAGTATAGTGAATGTAAGTGTGAGTAATGTGGAGGATAGGACAAAAAAGAGGAAGGAAAGATAGCGCGCGTCCGAGTCTGTTTGTTAGGGTACTGTCCTAGGTTTCGCTTGGTATTGATAGGAGAAACCGCAGATAACAGAGCAGCCGGCCGCTAGTAGCCGGCCGCTCCAAAGAGCGGCTGAACGCGACCCGGCTGAATTCGAGGTGACCAAAATCCCCCATCAACTCGGTGACGTCCTGGACGGACTAGGACCTCCCGGGCAGAGCCGCTGCAGCAACAGCGGCAATTCTGGCTATGACCTAATACTTTCACTCGATATTAATTAGGAAAACATTTAATAGTTTTATGATATTTTAATCCCTAAATATCCGAGAACTATTTTACTGACCGTAGACAAGGGAGGGACTATCCCATTATATCCTCCCCTCTCATGGACAGGTGATCATTGTGGTTTTATTTTACCTTCCACTCAAGGGTGACCATGGTGGGTGAATAACGGTAATAGATGAAGTACAGTTTTGGAAGGAATGTTGAAAAGTCAACGCCACAGATACAATTGCTTTCCCGGGACTCGAAGCCGCAGCCCTCGACTCCACGTACTCGGACTATGCTGCATTTCGATACTAGTTTCGAAAGATTCAAAAGGGGCAAACGCATTATTTTGGCCTTTAAATAGGTTTGTAGCAATATTGAGGAAACCAAATAAGAGAGAGGGGAAAATTGATCTGGCAAATGAATTTACACCTATTCCCCAGCGCATGCATCGATACACATTTGAAGAAAAATTGCATTGAGAGCGCCTTTAGAGATTCGTGAAAATGTCCAGCCCGACCGGTGTTTTGTGGCACAATTTCTCAAACCTGTGAAATAAAACGGGACTTGTATCGCGTAAACCAGATTGAATACCTTGTCATTCCTGTGAACGGCAACCGACTTCGGTGGCTCAAAGCATCGACCAGTTTTTTTTCTAGGGGGTCCTAAGGTTCGAGTCCTAAAAGATAGCTGCACAGATACGTCAGCCCCTGTCTGGAGGAGAATTCTAGCGGCCGGCCACTCTCATCGGTTGTTTCCGTGGGTTCTCAGATCAACGCCAGGCGAATGCCGGAGCAGTACTCTAACAAACGGCCCAGAGACCGCGCGGGATCTTTCTTTTCTCTTCCTTGTTCTATCCTCACCCCTTACACACGCTTTTACTTTCATGCACTACACTATCAAGAGTTTAGAGCTTGTCCCGGCTGGGGCGATGCCTCACTGGTGAAAAAAAACAATAACCCGCAAGCCAACGTGTAGCTTGGTGCTGGATCTCGCCATCGAGTGGGGGCAAGATCACTGCCGCTACCAGCGAAAAAAAACCTACACCACATTTACGAGCCTAATTAGCTTAGCTTCTTAGCTAGCTAATTAGTAACTTAGATAACTACTTAGATAACTAATTAGCTAGCTAATTATCGACGCGCCCGCGAACACTAATCAGTCAGTCTGAGCGACAGCGGGCTCCCGGGCGAGGACTCACTCGGCAGTGATGATCTCGATCTTGTCCTTCGGCAGGTTGAAGGCCAGCGACACGAGGCGCTTGCCACGCACCTTCAGCTGGGCGTCCACCGCCGACGACGTGTACAAGTTGGTCTTGAGGCGGATGCCCGCGCTGCTGTAGTACGCGTCCACACCCATCGTGCCCACCACGTTCACCGCCACGCTGCAAAGCACAAGGGATGGGCATGGCTGTACACAGTCCTAGGCCACATTTTCCACAAAAATAACGGAATCCTTCTAATATACTCGCTACATAGAGTATTACACTTTGTGCGGGTATTGTGAAGTTAGTGTAACAAATGGACTGGCTGTACTAAAGTAACAAATGACTGATATATGGAGACGTTTCTGCTTTACTCTGTGACAAGAAAGGATGCGTTTCTGTCGTGCCCTCATCACAAAAACTAAGTTTGAGTAGTATTAATACACTTTTTCATTTATTTTACACTCAATCCTCACAAAACTGCCTGTTAGGTTCGAAGACAATTGAGATTTGTGAAATGAGTTAATATACTTGAATCATTATGTGGATAAATTGAGAAGCCATATTATTGTTTAAAGGTTTTACTCCCCACACGTGACTAAAAATTTAATATTCTCCCCGATGGAATTTTCATAAATGACGAATAATATGTTGGTAAAATATTAAGTCTTTTTTAAATCTTTTAAATTCACGTAATTATAATAACGAGGAAATACTCAATTTCGTAACTAACCACAACAAATAATATTCAATGAAGAAGTGCATTTACAATAGAATATTTGAAAAATTCAGAATACGCTCTTTCTATTTAAGTAGTTAATTTCTTCTTCACTTCTTCCACCCGGAAGATGTTCACGTACCCCTTACAAGCCTACACAGTACGCTATAGGAGACGCTATATCTAGAGTCTCCAGCGTTCAGCAGTTGAGAAAACGCCTGGTGAATAGTGTCGCGAATGGCGGTCGTCCGGTCTGCCCCGCGCTGCCTACCTCGGCCTGATGTTGCCCGTGACGTCCAGCTCGCCGGTCTGCAGGAAGTTGCCTCCCTTGAGGGAACCCGACATCTTGAGGCTGACGGCGGCGGTGCCGAAGGCATTGAGGCTGAGAGGCAGCCCGCCGCCCGTCGGCACCACGTAGTCCGCGTCCATGAACATGGTCGCCTTGTTGTAGTTGATCTCCTGCAACGAGCGCGCCTCCGGCTTGTCACGCTTTCCAAAGTCCATTCGTTTCTACCTTGTTCGTCGTTCGTCTTTCTCTGTTCGTCGTTAGCTGTTCGTCGTTTGTCGTTTGTTGTTCGTCGTTCGCTGTTCGACCTTATATAGTTGACCGTTTTTTTCTGTCAACTCAAAAACGACGTGTCATATGGGCAGGTGAAGTAAGTTACACATTTTAGTGTCCAGAAGCAAGAAAATAAATCATCTTAACATTTGTTCAGTTTCTAAAAAAAGAGATCGACACAGAACTTTACGTTCGAGCCAGATCGCGAGAACAGTATGACATTCTTTGTGAGTCGTTCACAGAATGGCCAACGATTCTGTAGAATTAAAAACTTTGATACAAGTTTAGTCTACACACAATTTGGGTAATCTGTCGAGGATTACGCATACAGAGATAGATTTATATTAAAACAATAGTTACATTGAAAATACAAGTGCAAAGGGTAAACACATCCTCAACATTGTGTCTGTAAATTATTTGTCCAGCCTGCGATAAACTATTGAGCAAATTCTGAGATGACTCCATTCTTTGCTCCTAGACTCAAAGAGTCACTTTTCTCCAAACACCATATACAGTTTACATTGTTTTTAATGTAAAGTAAAAAAGAATTAACAAAAAGGCGAGCACCAACTTAGTCGTGAAATTTCGAGTTTTGTAGAAGAACAATGAAGGTTACACAACGAACGTATGTGAGAAGTTTAAAGCAATAACAGCTTTCACGTCAAAATTATTACTGTTTTCTATGATGATATACTGAGGTGTATTGGAAAGGTAGTTTCCAGACAATTCGCAAACACCTGCGATGGACATCCTCAGTGGACAGGTCTCAGATGACGTGGCCCGCTCGCTGGAGGTGAGATCAGGCAGAAGCACCCTTCTACGCCGACCAGACAGCTGCTCTGAAGATCTACTGAGGATATTCACCACAAGAATGGAGAAAAGTTTGAAAACGTACGTTTCCAATACACCACGGCAATACATACCTTCCAATACAGCAACTGTTCGAAAAACAGTTACCATATTAGACCAAAAACGTTGGTACGTGTGTAGTAAAAGCGTCTAATATTGCAAATAAATAAAAGTAAACACGCACTCACTAATTGTTCAAATATCGCGAGACCATATAAGGGGAAGCGGAAAGTCTGTGTGTGAGTGTGTGTGTGTTGATGGTCACCTGGCCGGAGAGCAGTTGCTGCAGCAAGCGCACGGGGTTGACTTTGTTGAGTGCGTCGGCCACCTCGTCGTCACCATCCAGCGTGTGGTAGCGCAGCTCGTTGCCGAACACTTTCAGCCCCAGAGACGCCTGCGCAGGACCAACGCCGCAATTTGAAATGAGGCAAGAAAAACCCGCCAAGAATGGTCGCTTTTTTCTGTTACTTTCAGCCTCCAAGCAACTTGAAAAAAGTCAACCTTTTTCTCAAGAGCATTTGGAGAGTTTAAATTCTCGTTTACTACATGAAGGATTTCACTTTCCATAAAGAAACGTCCTAACTCACACATAAGTTATTGCTTTCTCTCAATGGCTTTGCAAATTTTAAAAATTAGCTTTGCTCTCAATTGATATGTGCGACTTCCAGCGGACCGTACCTTGGGGTGGTTGAAGTTGTTGTCAATGACGTTGGGTATGCTGTCCACCTGGTCCACCAGGTTGTTGTTGACGTCGCGGGCCAGTCGTACGCGCTTTAGGGCATCCTCCAGCTTGTCGTTCACCTTGCGGCTGCTCAGCGGCCCCCGAGGTCCGAAGATCGACTCCAAGTAGTGCTCGAAGCCCTCCAGACGTCCCGACACCTGTGGGGATTCACGTAGTGTTACACCACATGGGCGGCCATAGTAATATAGGTCGGCGCCGAATCTCACCATTCAGCGGGGTAGTTCACTGCCACCTCCCGCGATAGAACATGCATTACACTCACGGGACTAATGACATTAGCAGTCGACGCGCTCGGAATCACTAATCAGTCAATCGTAAATTCAAGTTCGAGGATTGAAACCGCCAGGCACCGTTAGGGCCATGTATGCCCTTCACCCCTTTTCCCTATCCCTTTGCAGCCTGGGATCCTCCCTCTGCAGTTGGATCTCTAAGCTGCACGAAAATCGCATTGATACCGCTGCTGTTGTGATTCGAGGAATGTTAGCTGTGTTCGACGACGAATTGAAAGAAATTGTTCTGAAAATCCTGTGAACCAAGCAGGAGGAAGTCTTTCTTCCATATAAAACTTGATAATCTTCCGTTTATTAATCGGTAATTGGTAATACAAAAATCAAGACAAGAATCTTTGCCCGGTGGACTGATAGAACAGTTTGTGAAAGGCGCGTCATGTAGGTCGGATGGAGGCGGCCCGTCAACGAACCTAGTCTTTCCAGAACTAAGTTCGGTATTTCGCGTGTCTCGAATAAAACCCACGGCTGCCCTGGTCAGTGCCTCTCGACCATAATTTGGGCAGGCCAATGTAGACTGTGGAGGATGATTGGTGTTCCCACACGACCCATCATCTGTGAAGTTGCAGATGAGGGCAGAGCAAGAAAGGAATGATCCGCTGTGTGGAGCTTTGTTGAAAGTATTGCCCCATCATTCGCTTGGAGTCGACCGGATATGTCGGAAAAGAAAAAATAAGGAAGATGAAATGGTCGGACACCTGTATCGACTTTCGTTCAGTACACAATGCCAAGTAACGGGATTTTATCGAGCCGAACGAAACACAGAGTGGAGAAAGGCTATCCCTTCTATGGGACGAACATGAAGGTATGGATTTGATGGATTGCTAGGCACGCTAAGCCAATTTGATAAAATATTATGAAAGAAGCCAGTACACATGGCGGTAAGGCCTTGTGAGTTGTAGTGCTACGGGATAAAGTAAACAAGAAGTTGGAAAATGAGATAGCTACTCTTGATCAGAGGATGATCTTTCAATTTTTTTTCAGCCTTTTATACTATTTCACTTTATCTACCTCGGACTGAATGGATAAAGACATCTCATCGGCACAATCAAACTCTTCTAAAATAGAATAGAATCTTCCTCAGAATTATAATTAAAGAGACGAACGTGACAAGACATCACATTTAAGTACGAGGGTAGTAGATAAAATACAGTAAATTACGAAATACAAGAATGGTATGTAACTTGCACGAACATTTCACACGAACGCCCTTGTTATACTACTGGGCCGTTCGCCAAGTATTTAAGAATGCTTGTAAGATGACTGCGAAAAAATCTCAGGAATGAAGGAGCAATCTGATTATGAGGATAGTGATATAATCTTACAGAAACTGATTCCTCCGAAAGGTTCGTTCAACAACGGCAACATTTTATTTTCCGAATATTCTGGTTACGAAAACATCTGAGACGTTTCTTTACTCATTGTAAATGAGGAAAGAGAACTAACGAGGGAGTAGTCGAGCTTATCACATCAAAACTTGGTTTAAAGATTTTGAGTGATGGTTAGGGTCGTGGGGTTCATATGCATTGTTTTAGCTGCCAAAACAAACTGTAAGATATTTAAAAAGTAATGAAACATACAATTTTCGGGATTAGCTCTTGAAACTTCCTTTGGTGCAGCACTGGTCTGTAGATCAGTCAGATAATACAGTAAGGCAAGCTTAAGCTGGGGATGCCTTCTGAGGAGTGTCCAATTCATTACTGTTCGAGCACCTCGAAATAATCCTAATATTGGTAATTTTTTTGAGTAACTTCCAGTTGGTTTCAGCAGCTAGATGTTTGCATATGAAACAATTGTTACTTTAAATATTACTGAAAATGCAAGGCGGATTTTGATATGGCATCTCAGACCATTCCTTTGTGAATTTGTTTCGCTCTTTCTCTGTGTGAAATTATGAATAATCAGTTTACTTACCTCAAATACATTAATTGATTCTCCAAACAGGTCGACGGTTAAATTGAGCATTCCACTGCGTGGAATGTACGACTTGGGAGAAAAGATGACGTTGCTGTCGTAGTTTCCTCCTGCAAGAAAAACAATTTAGATATTTTTCTTCAAAAAACGAAAAAAGTGGTGTACTGAAGATATTGTGTTAGCTCTCGGACCCTCTCTCTCTCTCTCTCTCTCTGCCCCCCTCTCTATCCCTTTCTCTCTCCTACATACGAATAAATAGGAAAAGTCTTGTAGTTAAAGGTTGGAATAACAGCTAACAATGTAAAATACAAGTTGTAAATTGGTTTTCACTATTATAATTGTTTTTAAAAGACGTCAGTCCCTTTTCTAATTTAGGACAACAGTAAATACAGCCAAAAAATTGATAGCATAATTTTATTCTGTGAAATTTCACAAGTTTCGGGGAGTGTTCTGTCTCCCTTATCAAGTATAACTGGCAATGTATTTATAAAAATTTATTTTATATTATTATTTTCAAGTGTACTTGATGAGGAAGGCGGAATAGTCTCCGAAACGTCGGATTTCAGAGAATAAAATTTATATAATAATTTTAGTAGTATTTATTGGGACTGAACATTTTTTATAGCAATGTTTGTCTAATATCTTCCAGATGTGCTTATTCATGACAACGCTTTTTCTTTCAAAGTAATTTTTTATAAAATTTATCTACATTTAGTTTCAATACTGACGTTTTGTGATTCTTTAATCACATCATATTGAAAGATTAGATATCAAAGAACTTACACTATATGAACATTCAAAATAAAATTAACAATGATTTCAAATTAAATCAATTCAATTGCCGATTTCATGTTGTAACGATATATATCTTGTTCATATTTATAGAACAAAATGTTACATGATGAGATACACAACGATCATAATCGAGATATGAATATTTACGAAAAGCGAGAAGCTGTGGTGTGGTGGTAGGTGGTGGTCCTATGGTTAGTGTTGATTTTCTTCTTACTATTTTCATTACGAAGGTCGAAAATAAATTGTATTGAAATATATAAATTAATATTCTTCTAAACAAAAGTCATATTCAAAAAGATTTTATGTGTTTTAATTAGATCCTGATGATAAAGGCCAACGAATTTCGAAACGTTGATCGATGCAAAAAGTCTAAAATGTTCTGATAAAAATTGACGTTTTGTTAATGTTTGCCTTAAAAATCAAAGGCCCTGATGTTCCATAAATTGAAATGTTATGTTCTTACTGCCCCCAGAAGCAGGAGGGGAGCTCACCTGCGTTGTACTCGTCGAAGAAGACGGAGCCCTGGAAGTTGTGGGAAAACTTGCGCGCGTCGCTGCTGAACTTCTTCTCGAGGTCGCGCTGCTGCAGCAGGCCCTGCAGCTCCACGCGGCTCGGGATGGACGATTTGAGCAGGTTGTTGAGGTGCGTCCAAACGAACGAGCCCACTGAGCACCCACGAAAACACTTTTTTAGTCTACTATTGCTATCGTTTTAGAGCTTCTTTAAAAATACTCGTTGGATTTGATGGATTGCTAGGCACGCTAAGCCAATTTGATAAAATATTATGAAAGAAGCCAGTACACATGGCGGTAAGGCCTTGTGGGTTGTAGTGCTACGGGATAAAGTAAACAAGAAGTTGGAAAATGAGATAGCTACTCTTGATCAGAGGATGATCTTTCAATTTTTTTTCAGCCTTTTATACTATTTCACTTTATCTACCTCGGACTGAATGGATAAAGACATCTCATCGGCACAATCAAACTCTTCTAAAATAGAATAGAATCTTCCTAGTATTAGCTGCAGCAAAAATCCTGAACAAAACCACATGAAATGATTTTCTAAAAGTAGCACGCACACTCCTCATGAACAAATAAAATACGCTGTTCTCGAGAAAAAAAATGCTTCTTTAAAATTTTAGATAACAGGAGTTATTTTAATTTATTTATGCCATATTAAGTAAAAGTTAATATTAAACACATTTTTTACAGTTTTTCAGACTCTCAATGGCAACTCGATATTTCGGGAGTTACTGCACACCCTCCTTCAGGTCTATTGCGATACAATAAAATTATTTTAATTACTAAACAGGCAATGTAATTTAAGTAGACTTTTCAAGGATTAAAATATTGACACGCAAACAAACTTTTGAAAAAAGATATTTCAAGATCAAACAGAAGAGACTCCTGTCTACTGTTATTCATTACCTCGTCTGACCTTCCATGAGGGGAAGTTTAGATATTGTTAAATTAACCTGCAATATTTCAAATTTTCATTGTATATTTTTTTAAATTGAGAAGGCTATTTACAGAAAATATTCATTTGTTCCCAATCAATGGAGGAAAGCAAAGTTCACCTGTATGTTACGAACAGAAATCTTGAAAGTTCACAGACATTATTCTTCATACAAGTGTCTTGTTCTTTCGAGAAAACACAAAAACAATGAGACAGTATTCGCTTGTATAAAAATACTTTCCTCTAACAATGCAATAAATTGAATATTTAAACTTAACGAATACAGCATACACGAATATAGCTATTGCACAGTACAACAGTTATTTACATAGATGTAAAGAATGTTGCCGTTTTATAACCCAACACGTGAATAGCAAATATTTAGCGACGACCAGTGTGTTCCATGAAATTTTGCTGTTACATGACGTCAGCTCTGTCGTAAGCAGTGTCGCACTGAGAATGAGAATTTAGTCGGTAAGTGGAGTATGAGAATATTTGGAGTAACGCAATCAAATATTTGCACTTTTTCAGTCAAACTATAAACATTTTCATTGTTCGTGGATTTACCCTGCTTTCCTGGTTATCTAACGTGACCACACAGAACCTCTCTAAAGACCGGAGGGTGCACACCTCTTGTAAATTTCTGCACCTGTCGGAAATAACCAATAAAGAGGTAATATAGATTTCGGGTGACACATGGTGAAGTGGTGAATCCGTTCGCCTTCTACTGATGGGTGTTGGGAGTTGAATCCACTGGGAATGTGTGTCGAATCCTGAAATTCGCGAATTCTCGAATCCTGGTGTCATTGACGAAAACTCTGAAAGACGCGGATGACTGTTTTAAATACTACCTAGTTCGGGATTGCTAACGCGTCGTCGTCCGAACAACAAAGAGCACACACATGACTCTGATGGTGAAAACCTACGACTTACTTTTCAATACTAGCCGACCTCAGTGTATTAGGGAGAGCCAGACTGGCTTCCTAACCGGAAGTTCATGGATGGATACATCCAGTTCGGGGCAGCGATTTTTGAATGGGCGCAACATCGTGAGTCATGTTACGCTAGTGCCATGTAAAAGAATGGCTGGCTAAATGCCCGTTAGCTAAATACTCCAGCAATTACGATTCTTATGAGATTCCAAATGTGCACAACCAGGAAACGACACATGAAGACCGATGTTACATCGGTCCATAGCTGCGAACACGCTTGTGAAAAGGTAGCGTTGGGCGATTATGTGCTTCTAATTTTGAAACTGGACAAAACGCAAGTCTCCAAAGCCCGAGGATACGATCGTAAAAACAGCAACAGTCTTTCGAATTTCTGGATCAGATTGGGGTTCGAGATCATTTAGTATTCGCCGCTTCGATTGCTTTTTCTCGTCTAGCTTTGAGAGCAAAGGCGCATGCTAGGAGAGCGCATACCTTGATTCACCTCCTCCACCTCCAGCGTGTGCTTAATGGTCTTGATGACGTTGTAGTTGGGGCAGCGCATCACCTGCAGGTAGGCGGCGATGCGCAGCTCGGGGTCGGCCGTCTGGTTGCGGAACAGCTCCAGGAAGAAGGGCCGCGTGTCCTCGCACGGCAGCCGCCTGCACCCCGTGCACACAAAGCACACTCAAGCGCGCCGTTACAGCACACGCACGAGCACTCACAGCGCTTACTAGTCCGTTATAATTATAATAAAATTATTAAGCCGATCAGATGGCCGAGATCGCTAAGGCAGTAGTGCCGTAGTGGTCTCGGACCAGAAGATCACGGATTCGAGTCTCGCCTCGGGTGTGTTTGAGTACGTCTGAATTTAATAGGCTGTCCGGGTGACGCCGCGTCCATGGCGAAGGTGCCGACGTTTCGGTCGCCATTCTGCGACCTTCCTCAGGGCGTAAAGCAGGAAGGCCGCAGGATGGCGACCGAAACGTCGGATCCTTCACCATGGATGTGGCGTCACCCGGACAGTCTAGTAAATACTGACTCCGGCCGCGGAAGCCTACGCTCTCACTTGAGTACGTCTGTATGTGTGTGTTTCACTCCTCACTATCATCATTACTTCATCTTCCAGGGCTAACAACCCTGGGGGATATAAATCGGACCCAGGAAAAATGCTGATCCTCTAATAAAAAGTTGCATGCTCCTTCCATCGAGATAATAGAACTGGGCCCCGGTAAATACAGGGTGCATGCACGCGTGGTCCAAGTTGGCCTATTTGCGAGCAAACATATAATTAATATAAATAAAATATAACGTTAAGAATCCTCTATTTGTTAGAGCATTCTCTGGCACACACGGAGTGCACATAAACACGCGTTTAGAGCACCCACATAGCCGTGGTTAAAGAGCACATTAAAGCTCACAGAAGTACACGGTCTAAGCGCTCACGAGTCACGGTTAGATCGTTAGAGCACGCTCAGTCACATACAGAGCACACACAAGCAGTCAGCTGAAGAGAACGTACATTACTAAAACAAATGTTTCATTTGTAGACATTTCGGTTCCACAGACACGAACTATGACTTAAAAAACACGTTTTATTGAGGAACAAATTTTATAGTTGGTTCATTGTTCGTTATGTTCTTAGAATTTATTAAACGGAAGTATTATGACATATTACTCATTATTATGGATCTCATATTCCATTCTTGTAATTCTGTCAATAAGGAGACGCTGTTTATGTCGGTACGTTCTCTTTGGGGAACGACAAAAGTTGTTACAAAGTTGAAAGCACTTCTGATAGGGGGTCAAAACTGATGATTTGTTTGTACGAATATCTTCTAAGGACCTTTTTGACTCGAATCATGGCTCTGTTGCTCAATCACATACAGAGTACACACAAGCAGTCAGCTAAAGAGAACGTACATTACCAAAACAAATGTTTCATTTGTAGACATTTTGGTTCCACAAACACGAATTGTGACTTAAAAAACACGTTTTATTTAGGAAAAAATCTTATAGTTGATTCATTATTTACCTATGTACATTATGTTCTTAGAATTTAATAACGGAAGTATTATAATATATTACTCATTATTATGGATCTCATATTCCATTCTTGTAACTGTCAATAAGGAGACGCTGTTTATATTTGTATGTTCTCTTTGGGGAGCAGCAAAAGTTGTTACAAAGTTGAAAGCACTTCTGCTAGGGGGTCAAAACTGACGATTCTTTTGCACGAATGGTCTTGTAAAGCCCTTCCTGACTCGAATCGTGGCTCTGTTGCGGCTCGTCGCCGGGCGGGAGGGAGGAGTGGGGAGGGGGAGGGGAGGGGGAGGGGCGTTGGCAGCTCACCTGTGCGCGTCGATGCAGGCGAGGCGCAGCTCGAGCGGGACGCCGGGGTCGGCGAGGCAGCGCCGCAGCGTCGTGCGGAGGGAGTCGGACGCCAGCCCCACGTTGGCCAGCGCCTTCACCGCCACCACCGCCTGCGGCCCACACGCGCCCGCGCGCCTTCAGCACAGACAGCCGCGCCCTTCGGTCCTACGTGTAAACGCTTTGGAGGGGAACCAGAAACTCCTCCATTCTCTTTGGCGGTGACACATCATCGGTGCCTAGTTAGACGCTCAGAGGAGACGGGTGGGGGCTCCATGTCGTCTGGGGGCTGATCAGCCCGGTTGGGTCCTGGATTCGTCCCCCGCTCAGTGATAATTGAGAAGGGAATATTCCCACGCAAGTGAGTGACGTATTACTCCGGTATGAAGCAGAAAAGTTGGTAATTTTCGACCTAATACGGGTGGATGTTTCTCAAGAGCAGGGCGTTCTGGCGTTTCTACATCCTAGCCTCACGACGCCTTACTACGATTTTAAAGGGAGGGGTGAGAATATGGCGAAAAGCTAGGTATCCTCTCCAGGGGTCTGAAACTGTCTGGTAATCACAAAGCAGGCTTCAAACACAGTATACACACCTCTATTCAACTTGCAGTCCTATCACTTTGTTTCCTAATTTATGAACAAGTAGGTTTTGTCAAAACTGGCGTACTGAAGGGTAGGCACCTGAATTTCATGGAAAAGTGACATCTATAAAAGGGATGTGGTCCTGTAATATTGATCATTCAAAGAGGTCTGATTGGTAGGATCCCTTGCTTTTCTTCTGAACACATGCATCGTTTGGCTCCCAAACCTCCCACACAGTTTTTAGTGTTATACATTAAATAAATTAATAAATAAGATACAAAATGTCTGGTCCCAACACGAGATAACTCACATATCCACAACACGGCCTTCACTGCCTCCACCACCACAAACATCATAAACTTATTCATTATCTAAGTATATATTTAAGTAATAATGTCAAAATTCATCAAGTCCAACTAATGTGCAGGAAGTTCCATTACAAATAGAATAAATCAGATCATTGTATTAATGTGAAAATCCGTCATTCAATTGATATAGTACAAAAAGGCACTTGGCAAATATGCGAAAACAGATAAATCGAAAATATTCGTTAATACCAGCAAGGTAGAGATTGCAGTTGAAGCTGCAAGGAGGGCCCAAAAGCGTGTGGTGGGTGGCTCGCCTCCGGCCAGCCCCCGCGGGAAGGGATGGGGTGGGGTGGGGGGCGGGGCGCAGCACTCACCTTCTCGAGGGGCTGGCGCGTCCAGACGCGCGCGCTCATGGCGTCCCGCAGCACGCGCAGAAGGTGCTCCATGATCTCGTAGACGGGCCGCTGGTCGGCGCAGCTGGGGTTCCAGCGGCAGTACGAGCGCACCACCGACGACACCGCCAGCACCTGCTGCGCGTCCGCGCTCTTGTTGCGCAGCAGCGGCGACAGCAGCGCCACCGTGCGCAGATCGGGCCTGCGCGCGAACGATTCATTCATTGCGATTCCGGGCGCGTCCACTGCTAAAGTCATTAGTGCCGTAAGTGTGTTGAATGTTTTTTTTAGGGAGGAGGCGAACATCTTCCCTTGCTGAATGGGATGAACGCTGGTGTAGAGCATGTTAGTGTAAGTGTGTAAGGGACGAGGAAGGAAACATCGCGCGGTCCGTTGCCCGTTTGTTAGGGCACTACTCCGGCATTCGCCTGGTGTTGATCGGAGAAACCAAGGAAAACTACCGATCAGAACAGCCGGGCGCAAGAGTTTTCCTCTAAATGTGGAGTACAACATGTGTCTTATCTTCTACAATATTTTGTTGGTGTAATTGTTTTATTTTTATTGTAGACGAAGGGAAACTTACTATCTGAATGCACCTCGTATTATATCTGGCCGTATAGCACTGCAACATCCTCCTTTCTAATTAACATTTTTAAGTGTTCATACCAATTTTTCTAGACTTACCAATCAAGAGCCTTGTTCATCGAACGATGTAGATATGTTGATCACTTATGTGGTCTGGCGCTACTGAATGTAATCTGTTGGGGCTTAGTGTTGTGCATCCTTCTACAATATGATTTATTGATGATTTATACGCCCTTTGTTACAATTATTATTATTATTATTATTATTATTATTATTATTATTATTATTATTATTATTATTATTACTATAAAAATACCTGGTGTGCATGTACTTTCTGTCAAACTACCGCAGCACGCTGCCACACGTACGAAAAATGGTAATAATTTTAATTATGGATTGTATTATTAGCAATAGTTATCTAGCCGATGACGAATATTGTCCACCGTAAGGACTCAAACCCTACATCGTCGCTGTCAGCAATGCTGAATGGCATTTCAGCCAGTAAATTAGATTTTATCATTAAAAAAATAACCAACCGATCAACGCAGTATTGCAGTGACAGTTTGTAGGGTAGTGCCAGTGTGCCATGGCACCACCAACAAAAAGGAACGAAACTATCATTTTCATCACAAATATCTGTATAAAATATCGAACATTATTTCTGGAAACAACCCTGTGTTATTGGCGATTGTTAACGCAACGTTCATTCACCCCTAATTACGGGTTATAGAGAAGTGTTTTAACGTGAGATTACAAAACCAGCTATAGATCAGGGATGGTTTCGATAGATGTTTTGGTATCGACGTCGCATGACAAACTGGCTCCACCAATAGAATTGCGCCGCTGCTGCATTGCGACGGCCGTGCGTTGTAGTTTGCCAATGAGAGGGCGTGGCGGCGGCGGCGGGCGGGGCTCACCTGGGGATGAAGGCGACGGCGAAGAGCCAGTCGTGGGCGAGGGAGCGGTCGACGCCGCCGCGCAGGATGAGGTCGCGCATCAGCGCCACGGCGGCGTTGCTGCCCAGGAGCGGCAGCGCCGACAGCAGGTGCTGGCGCGCGGTGCGGCACAGCGCCGGCGCGCGCAGGTACAGCTGTGTGAGCGCGCTCGGCGACAGCAGGCGCGCCGTGCGCAGGAAGTGCGCGAACGCGTGTGGGAACTGCGGCTGCACGTCGCCCTGCGCACCGCCACCCGCCACCGCGTCAGCGTCCACAGCCGAACATGACCCAACTGCTTCTCTTAGCCACCGTTTGGGTCATTGAGCGTGCAATATGTTTGGAGTAATCCTCCTTTAAATTTCGTCTTTTTGTCTCGTAACGTTGCAGTCAGTTATTGCCTTTTATCCTTTCGGCCAGGGATTCGGTGCCGTTAGTGACCAGGCTTCCCAGACGGTCACCTTTCCGGGAATCCGTGGTGTCTCGAGTTGAGGAACTTGCATGACTACACGAAGCGTAGTCAAGCAATCCGGCTAACGACGATTGAAGAGCATACTTACGAAGTGACGTGTCTTCAAGATATAATTCAACTGTTTTCAGATACCGTTTACCGTCTAACTTAAGAGATGTGCAATTTTTAATAGAATATTTGGAATGGTTGTGTAGGTTTCCACGGCCGGAGTTTGTATTATCTAGGCTATCCGGGATGAGCCGCGTCACTGACATGGTGGCTAACGTCTTGACCTTTACTCAGAGCGTACTGCTGCAGCAGCCGAAACGTTAGCCACCATGTCAGTGGCGCGGCTCATCCCGGATAGCCAAGATAATCGAATATTTGGAAGTTGATGGGGAAGGGTCTTAAGGATATGCCCCGGAATAAATGTTACAAATTTCTAGAGCATTCCGACAATGCAAAAATCATCACTTTCCGTCAATGAACATATGGATGGAAGTTTTATATAACAGATTTACACATGCGTTATTTGCAAGGATATTTCCAGTACATACCAATCGGGACAAATATATGTAGCTCCATATGTGTAACTTCTTTATATGAAATTATCCACTACATATTTCTTGTCAAAAAGTGGTTCGACCCCCCTACATGCCCTAGAAATGTATAATATTTATTCTGAGACACCTGTATTTATACGTAAAATTAGAAAACAAATATCACTTCTCCCCAAAGTAAATGAACAGAATTTTTAACTGTTGTTAAATAAATAAAAATGGAAATTGTTATACGTCACTTTACAAACAAGCTCGTCCATTGGCGGACCGCTAATGGTATGTCAGATAAATAGCCTTCTACTCGTACCGCTGAATCCAAACTTGATTCCCGTCTGATCCCAATGGATTTGGTGGTGGACAAAGGGGGGCCTTGTCACGTTGCCTAGGTTCTGGCGGAACTCACGTTAGTAGCCTCAAGGTGGTGGCAGTGAGGAGATGGGAAGGGGGGTTCGAACAGCCCGGACCTTATTTCGGTTGGCCCTTGATGATCTCTTGGCTTCGTCGCGGCGGTGGCCCGATACACTGGGAAATGACGAAGGACTTGCTCTCGACGTATGTGAGTAGCACATGGATTGGATTTCGGTACTAGACTGGATAACTAGTAGATCTGAGCTGTCAGGAAGGCCCAACCCAGGCATTGAATGGGGAGGTTGCCAAGAGGTGTGGATCCCCCCTGGTAAAGTACAAGTGCGAGGAAGGCACACTGCAGACCACTGGACAAAGGTGTTTAGATTAGATTTAGATTTATTTAGTCAAAAAACAGTAAAAACTGTATGTGACGTATGGGGGAGAAGATTATCTACGTACGTTTTATTGAGTTCCAGAACCCCTTCCCGTCATTATAAATGTAAATAGTTGAAAGATGAGTAAAAGTTTTAAATAAATAAATATTCAATTGGTAAACAAATGGAAAGATTAATAAATAATGCCCTTTCGTGCCAGTACGGTATTTCTACTCTTTGAGATCGATGTTTAAGGTACGAGTTTATCCAATATAGGGCGATACCACGAATTCCATATGAAGGTAATTTTGATAGCAATAATATGTTATGGTCAATAACGTCAAAATTTCGAAATATCTAAAAGTATTCAAATGGGTGCTTCATTTTGGTTCATTGATGAAGCAACATCTTTAAGAAAAGAAACAATGGCAGTTTTTGTAGATTTAGATTTTCTAAACCCGTGTTGTGAATCTGAAAACGCTTCGTTTTTCTGAGAAAAGTACAATTCGCATATAGAAAAACCTTTTTAATATTTTGGAGAAACCTGACAAAAGAGAAATTGGTCGGTAATTTTGAATTTCATTTTTGTTCCCTTTTTTAAAAAGTGGCTTAATTTTTGCTGTTTTGAAAATATCTGGAAATATTCCTGTGCATAAAGAAGCATTGAAAATGTGGGTTAACGGGAGTACTATAAAGGCAAGTTTTCAATAAACAATCCCGAAATTCATCTAAACCAGATGAATATATATTTTTTGTTTACTGTCTATTCGTAAGGTTTCGTCAGAAGAAGTTTCAGAAATAAAAATCGTGTCGAAAATTTTTTGGGAAGGTAATGATGTTGAATATTGAGGTTTTAGTCCCTCCGTGAGTTCAGCCGCAATTCTAGAAAAGTGTTGGTTGAAGAGATTTGCCACTTTTCCCGGATTACTGACTTCTTTTTCATTATCCTTTCAAAGAACATTCTCTACTAAGTAACGAGATGATGTGGTCGTATTTCATACTATATTCCACATTGCATTTCTCCTAATACCCATGGCAATAAATCATTCCAGGGATCAGCTTTGTTCACAGCAAATTCCACTTCTGTTGACTGGGGTATCGTGATGCGCTAAACTTTTGTTTCATTACGCGACGCCCGTTGTTGGAGAGACATTTTGATACCAGTTACCAGCCTTATGGACACGTCACCTATGCCAAGCCTTTATTATTATTATTATTATTATTATTATTATTATTATTATTATTATTATTATTATTATTATTATGGTTATTATTATTATTAGTGCTCATGAAGGAGTGTTATAAATGATGGAGCAAGAGTGCCACGAGAGGCAGGGGAGACGAGAGAACCCCGGGAAAATGGACCGCTAGCACTTTGTCCAGCACAAATTCCACGTGGATCGCCCAGGATTTGCGCCAGCATGGTGTGGAAGGCGTTGCAAGGCCAGGGAGGTTGGGGAGCGGAGGGCGCAGGCGAAGGGCGTGGCGCAGTACTCACGTCGTGCAGGAGGCACATGGCGCGCAGCAGGTCTCGGGAGGCGCGCAGCTCGCCGGACGTGGGCTTCGGGGTGAGGTCGTGGTCGAAGAGCAGCGGCACCCGCCGGTCCACGGGCTCTGCGCAGCAAGGAGGCGCGGCAGCCGCGTCAGCGGAGGCCCTCAGCTCCAGAGGCCGTCAGGCCCTGGCGCTCTCAAACCTCTCGCACTCACACCTTCAGGCCCTCAAGCCGTCAGGCCCGCACACCTTCAGACTCTTAGGCGAAGGTGCCCTTAGATTCTCACACTCTCAAGTTCTTATGTACTCCTACCCGCACACCAGGAGGCCTTCGGGCCTTTAGGATCTTAGGCGAAGAGACCCTCAGGCCTCACACTTTCACGCTCTGAAGTTCTCGCACCCTCACACTATGAGGATCTCGGGCCTTTAGGTTCTTACGCGAAGAGGAACTTTCACGATACCCGTCCCTCATGGTCTTGCACCCTCACACCATCAGGCCTTGACTTGCAAGTCCTCAGAACTTCAGACTCGCAGGGACAGAGACCCTCAGGCCCTTAGGCTGTCACGCTTTCATGCTCTAAGTCCCTCAGGTTCTCGCACATTCATACTATGAGGACCTCAGGCTGATAGGGTCTCAGATGCAGTGGTTTTCAGGCCTTACCGGTGTCAGGCTCTCTGACCTTCAGGTCCTTAGGTTCTTAGGCATCCAGTCCCTTACGCTCCCTGGCACGCAAGTAGCTATGCTCTCAGACTCTCGGCCCTTTACGTATTCAGGTTATCAAACTTACAGGTCGAAGGCCTTCACCTCATAAGGAAAAATTAAATTGGCACAGCCTTCTTTAAGCCACCTCTACATTATCGCAAAAACTCCCCCGTATTCCAACAGTTACCCCTCTAAACGCGATTATTTTATTTCTACTAGTTTTCCCAACGTCTGCTAAAGACTGGATTGATTCACCAAACATGAGATAACAAATCTTCCTCTAGGTGTCGTTATTGGGGGCATAGGTTTGGAACAAATGGATATATCAATTTATTCCGTGTATGCCTTGTAGTTTAAGTAATTTATGAGAGGTAAAACTTTCAGGTTTAGATTTTAAATACGTAAGATATACTTTGTATTTTTGTATTCGTCGTGACCCCTGTGATATCAGAATTCTACTTACATGTTAATACAAGAACATTCATTGAGAAAAAAGTGAACATAAAATTTAAAATTTGAATTATAGTGTAATATTGCATTGCACATTAAACACATAAAATTATACTACCATGCTTGGAAATCATCCCTGTATTTCAAGTGCTCACTTAAGTAAAAGCCTCATAAATAAGGCTTTGAAATTTATTCAATAATATGGACGCGTAAAGTTTTCAAATAGGCTGCCTTGTTTCGTGTGACTAGATCTAACCTCTTTTTTTCACCCTGCCCCATCCCCCCCTGACTCCATCGGCCGAGCACCTGGGCCACACTGGTCGTCGCAGGCCCTCAGCCGACACAGCCACCCTTCCACTACACTCTCCAAAGAGATGGCGAAGAAAAAATTGTTGACGTCAAGAAGAAGAAGAATACCCAATGTGGAGAATGAACAACTTAATTTCTCATCCCCGAATTGAGAAACGTTTCCAGGTGAAATTTATATAACGTTTCTCTTCGTCAGAACAAGGCAGACAATGAAACTGCAATGTTGGAAATGAAATTTTCAGAAACAATAATTTAGAACTAGAAAATGCTCTGATCATAGTTTATGAATGATAAATTAGGAAATGTCAACTTAGTCAAGCCAGACAGCTAATGTGTGTCATTATCAAATGATCTCATCATTGAACTGACTCTGCGATGGGTACCACCATTAAATTGTCCATCTTCATAAATATTTCTTACTATATGATTGCTGTAATCGTTTTAAAAAACGTTAAGTACAAATCTCGCAGACGGTACCATAGTTTAAAATCCAGAAAACAAGTTTAACTTCAGAAATCTTCAGAATGACAATTCATCTACTAGCTACGATGAAATTCTCAAAATTCTGATGGTCTCATTTCAATATTATCTGACAGCGATGCATGACCATAAACGCGATTATAAAAATAAAATCGTAGAGTTTTTCCCCAAAAGCGGAACAGTCGATTCAACTGCAAGTGCGAATAAGGCCTGAGGGTCTGAGCCAAATACGGAGAACGCCATGAAGATATTTTGTGATACGATGCGCCATGCACTCTGTCTTGTCTGAGCGCTTAGTACAGAAAGCTGAGAGGGCGTCAGAGAGAGGCCTGTGGTCTTTGCGGCTGTGTGCATGCGCGTCTCTACGCGTTTTTTGTATGACTGTCAGCACGACTATTTACACACCTGTTTGCGCGAGTAAAAACACGTCTTTATCTACTACGCGTGCGTCTGCGTGCCTTTGTGGGCGTGGGTCTCCACATTTGTTTCGGCGTGCGTTTGAATTTCTTTCGAGTTCGTCAGCATGACTGCTCGGGCGTGTGCACGTCTGTCTGCGCGTCAGTCTGCATGTGTTTGTCTGCGCGTGTGTGTGCATGTCTGTCTGCTCGTGCGTCTGTGTATATTTGTCTGGCGTGCTTGCGCGATTGTCTTTATTTCTGTCTACGCGTGTATCCGTATGTCTGCGTGCGCCTGCGTCTACATATGTCTGCGTAAGCGTATCTACATCTACGTACGCCTGTCTGCGATTGTTTTTCGAGTGTCTGCTACGACGGTTTTTCCTTTTCTGTGTGCGGGTGCGTCCGCATATGTGCCTGCACCTGCGTCTAAATATGTGTGCGCACGCCTGTCTGTGCTTGCGTCTGCACACGTGTGTTTGCGTCTACATATGTCTGCTTTCGCGTATGTACTTGTACGTATGCTTGCCGAAGCCTGCCAGCGAGTCCCTCCACAAGTCTCTCTGCGATTGCGTCTGCATGTTAGCCTCCGCCTACTAAACATCCGTTTATCTGAGCCTACATATTCCTGCCGGCGCGTGCTAGCGAGTGCCTCCGCAAGTCTGCATGTCTGCCCACGCCTGCATATGTCTGCTTCCGCGTATCTGCACCTACGTAGGCCTGCCGGCGAGTGCCGGCGAGTGCCTCCGCAAGTCTGCCTACGCCTGCGTATGTCTGCTTCCTCGCACCTGCGCCTACCTAGGTCGACCGGCGCGTGCCGTCGAGTTTTCCCGCCCGCGTGCGTTTGCGCGCATACCGGGCTGCGCGTGCGCGCGCGTGTCGTACCGGAGGTGTCGGCGGGCTCCGCCTCCTCCTGCAGCAGCTCGAGCGCCTGGCGCACGCGCGTCGTGGCGCCGCTGCTGCCGTTGGAGAAGGGCTGGAAGATGTGCGCCTCGGAGCAGTCGATGCGGCTGTACACGTTGTGGTCCACCCACAGGTCGCACGAGCCGCGCGACCGCACCACCGGCACGCCGTGCTGCGCCTGCAACGCCCACGCTCCCTTCGATCTCCCGAAAGACCTTTCATGTATTTGCTTCGCTGGGATTTTGGATTGGATTGGATTTAATGAAAACATATTTATAAGTGGATGTTATGCAATGAATATGTGGTAATTGTTAGAAAAAATTAGTAAAATTAAAAAAAAAATGCTTGGAGGCATAGTATTGAAATGCGAATTAAATACTACAAAATTTTACTATCAAAGCCCCCTTGAGTAACTAGGCTTTAGTGCTTGTATAATTCTTAATTTAATTACGTTACATTTACTCGTATTAATTATACCCATATCAGCAAGTTCACAAATAATTATAGTGGCGAAAAACAACAAGAAATCATATTGAAATAATTTAACTAAGGCTCTAGTAGTTGCTTAATACTTGGGCTTCTAAATATTCAAAGTCTAGTTTCCTGTGACCTCTTTTTTATTTTCAATCTGCCCCTTTCCTGGATCCGCCACTACGTACACCGCGCCCACCATCACGGAAAGATCGCGTGCCATGGTTACACGGCCGGGCCTAAGACCGAAGTCCCATGGCAATAGAAGAGAAAAAAGGAAGAAAGAAAGAAAGAAAGAAAGAAAGAAAGAAAGAAAGAAAGAAAGAAAGAAAGAAAGAAAGAAAGACGTAAAAAGAAAATTAACATGGGCAGTGTACACACTAATTTCTAAGTGAGGGTGGGAATTACTTGGTTCTTTTATAGACTGAACGTCACCCTGGATATTATCCTGCACATCCAAAAAGAGTCTCGTTCTGTTATTGCTTCACAGAAAATTAATATGACATTGTTCCATCCGTATATTGCTTACTGGCTCTACTTTTTCTGCCATGAGCGTCAGAAGTGAAAAGAAAATTACACAAGGAAAGTTACCTAAAACATTTAGATAAGCTTTAAAATAGATATTTTGTACAGCATTATCTTGTTTTCGCGCTTACTTCCTCTGAAACGGAATTCCATCCAGTTTGGAATAAAGCTATTCGGAAAATTTCGTGAATGTCATATGCCGTGATACACATCTCAACTTACCGAATGGAAAACATATGGGGTGGTCTGCAGGATGGAGTGGAACTTGTTTCGGCTGATGCACGTGGAGAAGTCCTTGGTCTTGTTGAGGATGAGGCTGGTGCCGGAGACGCGGTCCAGGCTGTAGAGGGTCTCGCACTCCCCGTGCACATCAGCCTGCAAATCGTCAAGGGCACGGACGCTTGCGGAGTTTACGTATCAATGTCTGTGACCCCTGAGACGCAATTGCACAAAGGCACATGTCGAGAATGACACAGACATTCGAAGAAATTGTTTACACCATTGTCAGAGACATTCTTGAATCTGTTGCGAGAGCCACCAATCTCGCAAATTATTGTTTGTGGGATCACACCTTTCGAAAGTGCAGTAGAACTCCATTTAATTACCGAAAATAAACTAAAATCGAGCCGATTTTTATATGTTAAAATTTGGATGTTTGGATAAAGCTCGAAAATTAAGAAAAAATATTTGAAAATTGGTAAAAAATTAACATTTTTTCTTGAAATTTAGTTTAAAGATCATAACGCACAGAAAACTATAAATAATGTCTGATTTACATAAATAAGAAAAAATGTGCGAAGGTTCAATATATACATGTGTATTAAAATTAGAAAAAATTGAAAGGGAATAGTAATACGCCGTCTAACGATGTAATATTTAAATATATTTCCGCAATGTTGAATTATTTACTTTTAAACTTTTCCTCGAAAATCGTTTCGGTTAATTGGAGTTGCACTGTATCAAAACACCCTTTATATCCTGGAATCTTCCACGCCTCTTGCCTTCTCAGGCTCGCCAAGTCTATAATCAGACCCCTCCTCCTGAACGCCTACCCAATATGGACAATTGCTACCAAATATAACATACAAAAAGTGCAAGTTACCCAAAACAAATTCTTAAGGTCCATCACCCAAGCTCCCTGGGTCATCTCCAATAAGCAACTGCACACCGAATTAAACATCAAACCAAACATATTGCCTATCTGGCCAATAACTTTTATTCGAATCTGCATTTGATCAACTAAAGCAGAAATCTTAAACTGGGAACGTCAAACTCGAATAAAAAACATGTACATGCATTCTTTAACATCTTGATCAATACAGAATAAACCAATTGAGGTGCTCTGTTTGTCTCCTCGTTAAATGTAGGTTAGCGTTAGTAGTAAATTAGATTGAAAGCCAGTAAACGCAAATGTAAAGTTGAATAATAACTGAACTTTGTAAATTGATCCAGAATATAAATAATTGTTTTGTGAAAGGCTCACCTCGACGGCCTTGTGGCTGACGTCGAAGCGGCGCATGGAGTTCTGGAAGGTGGAGAGGATGCCGCGCTTCAGGTTGAGCACCCAGCTCGTCTCGTTAGCCGCAGGGCACAGCTCGGAGATGATGCCGTCGTGAAAGGAGAACCTGCCGCGAGCGGACATATCAACACCTCACCTCTCCGACTTTGAATCCACGCCACCGTCGAATAAATTCGTTTTACTCACAACATTAACGATTAATAATATATTACTACAGTAATAATCAGCATTTTTACTAATATATGTCTCCATTTGCATGTAAGATGCCCTCAGGTTTTAGAATGAAACATTCGGAATATTTCGTGATGTATTCCGTGTGATATTTGTTGTAATAATGTTATTAAAAACTCTGCTAATTCCATGTAAATTTAATTGTGAGGAGGTCCACAGAAAATTGCTGTAGGGATATGGTACATTTTTAAACTCTGCAACAATGTTTGAAAAATAAAAGTCAATTTTTGAAAACGAATTTCTATATTTATAAAAAATATCGCTTTATTTCGAGATCCTCGCATATTAGCTCCCCATTTTTCATGGCCAATTTTTAAAAAAAGGGAGACTTATTTTAAAGAAAATATTGTATTCTAATTAAGAAGTACTATATTATTACAGTGACATAATAATATTAGTAATAAAATTACTAATAAAATAAGGCTGCATCATTAATATGCAAATAAAATGCAATGGATTTGAAATATTTTGTGCTTTAATGATTAGACGAAATTTTGTTTCCCCTTTCTTCAAAATCACTTTTATAACAACTCCCTTTAGCCAAACACCAGTCTTTTGTCAGAAGTTCCAGCAAAACAAGCTTGCAGGTTGTTTGCCAATGCAAATACTTTCACACGAGCGAACTTTTCTTACCAATGGTTGCTACTTTTGTTTTCTTCAGAATTCAAATATGTGTAGTTGTAGAAGGTGTGCAAGAATTTGGCTGCTCAAGAAAGCTAACGCAGATTGTACTTCCCATATGTTAGTTTTTACGACAAATAAACAAATAAAAAACCAATAAACAAAACAACACAAAACAAATAAACAAATAAAAGTCCGTAGCAGTGAAGAACTCACCTGAGAGGGAATTCGGAGACGTCCGCCTCGAAGCGCTGGGTGCCGCGGATCTCGCGCCGTCGCCCGTTGGCCACCCACCCCTCCCACAGGGCCACGTCCGACACCTGCCACACACGCGCGCACACAAAATAATAAACCACACACACAATGCTTTGGAGAATGCACTGAGGATTAATGAGCAATAGGTACAAAAATCACTTTGAATTGTGGTTTAAGAAAAAACACATTTAAAACTGTAAATTCAAGCACATACTAAATAATAGAGTCAAATGTAGGGGATGGAAGAAATTCGAAACAAGTATTGAAGATAAAATTAGATGAAGCTAGTGGTGTTACAACAGCAAGAACTTTTCGCAAAATTTCAAACTTTCGCAATTCTCAAAAATTCAGAGAATACAACGAAAATTATTTCTGCGCCATTTTTAAGCGTCCATCCCAGGTAAATTTTAATGAAAAATTGGAGCCGTTTTTGAGAGAAATAATTGTATAAAAATTACCTACATTTCACGCAAAGGTACGCTAAAAATAATAGTTTTGAAAAATCGTTATTGACTTTCATTCAAGATCTGTCTTTGAAGAACACATTGACGAAAGATTTTCCACACAGTAGTTGTGGAAAGACACAGAGAAACAATTAAACTTTTGCAATTTTCGAAAATTCAGACATTTATAGGAAAATGTGATCTCCATCCATTTTTAAGAGTCCTTTGCGCTATCCGAAGAAAGGTATAATAAAAATTCTGATTTTTTTCTTTAAATTTTGAAAATGTTGATGCATCATGTAAAGTACATCCAAAAATAAAAATATCCGCTTCAAACTCGAAGGGCCTCGAGTTTCTTCAGAATGATCGGCGAATATCAAATTGGGAGAAAATCATTTGAATAGTTTAGGCGCTAGCGTTGACCAAAGACGGATAGGACGGACGGGCAGACAGACGATTTGCCGCTAATCAAATTTTCGGTACCAATGACCCACAAAACGTGAATCCTAACGACATAACGTATTAGAAGAAGTAATTCACTACATATAGGATGAAAGATTTACACACTGTTTTGATACCGGGATCCCAAAATACGATTTTTTCTGCCACAGTTGTAAATTTTAAGTTACATGGGAATGTGCAATTTGGAATTGCCGAATACGGTTGCGACTTCATAGCTACTAAGCTGAAGTAATGTTACAAACGATGTTTGACTGTTCATAGATGTGAGAAAAACTGGCCGTAGACCGGGAGATCCGGATTCATTCCCAGTTGGGACAGTCAATTCCTTGAACATTCAAACATCATTAGTAGCAATATTTATTATTATTATTATTATTATTATTATTATTATTATTATTATTATTATTATTATTATTAATTTTTATTTTCACAGCTTTCTGGTACATGTTTCAGGAGTCACACAGGTATTTCTATCAAAGCATGATCTCCATAATACAATAGTTTTACAAGCGAATTAATTTTAAGAGCTAATTAAAAGTAAATAAAAGGGGGTAAATAAAAAGGTAATAAAAGGCAAACAATTCTACAAGTATGAACACTTCAATTAATTTATACATTAAACAGTAAAACAATTCTTAACATAAATATTTATTTAGGGACCCATAAATCTTCTAACTAAAGAACACGTGCTCAGGAACACAGCTTTCTGCAGAATGATATTAATGTTCGTCTCGATCCCCAATTTATTCAGAGAGTGCTTGAGAGCGATAGGTATCACACCCGTTGCTGAGGGGACAATCGGTACAATCTCCACGTCCAAGACATACCACTGCTTCTTTACATCTTGTGTTAGTTCTCTGTACTTTTATTATTATTATTATTATTATTATTTATATTATATTGATTTATTACTATAGGCCATATAACCACGCTACAGATTAAGTGTGTAATCTTCCAGGATCAGCTATCAGCTGTATCCTTGCGATTACACAAGTTGTTACGCCTTGAAGTGTTGATTATGAGATGATAGGTTGATGAAGGTGAGGACAATACAAATATGACCATGCTACGCAGACTCGAACTGCAGCCTCCTCGCACAGACAGGCTACCTGCAACCGTCTGTGCGCCCGGGCGCGACTTAATTATTATTATTATTATTATTTATTATTATTTTATATTATTATTAATATTTATATTATTATTTATTGTTGTTGTGTTGTTGTGTTGTTGTTGATGTTGATGTTGTTGAATAGGGCTTACCTTGAGTTCTCCCTCGCATGACGAGAGATAGAGCAGCGAGACGCGGCGGTCATCGCGAGCGGTGACTCGTTGCGCTCGTCCCTTGGAACAGCGCCGACGTGTTCAGCGAGTAGGAGTAATCGTAGCGCGTGTGAGGCGCATACGCGAACTTCGGGCCTCCTGCGGACACAGCGTGACGCTTTTTTAGTCAAAAACAATGAAAAACTGTGTGACGTACTGTTCACATCAAATGTAACCTCAAAAACAGTTAAGAAGTGTGCGAAATGATGTTTCTTGAGCTCTGGGACCAATGTCCTCACTCATATACATATTATGTTGAATTGTGAATATACGTAGTGATAAGCGTTTTTGCAAGATTTCATGTGAAAGTATTCTCTCCCGTGTAATAAAAACGACCAGCTTTCATTCGATAAATGACTGGCCCCCAGTGGCGGCTCCCTGGGGTACGAAAGGTAGGCACTCCCTACCCTGATGAGTACAGTACTAGTTTAATATATTGTACTCATCAGTACAAGTACTAGTTTAATATATATGTACCTTGTGGTCTCTTCTCCGCGGCTTTGATGCGAGAATTATAGAATTATATGTCAAGATTCTTGCGCGTTAGCGTACAACATTTCGAGACAAATTCGTTCTTCGCGGTAGCGATAAATAGTTCTGAAACCGTGAGAATTAATGTTTCATATTTTCTTCTTATTTAACTTCCTTATTATGCGTCTCCTAGTTCTTTATTATTCGCTAAAGTGAGATAGAGAGTATTACATGTAGTCCTTGGTGGAAAGTACAACGCGTGAGTGCTGGTGTACATATTTCTGTCTACGAGTACAACAAAACTACAATTAAAAGAGTCAAACTTACATTTATTTCAAAGTAATCATATCAACGTATGGAGAACATGCAGGTGCTCGCAGGAAAACATTTGGGGAACCGATGAGGCCCGATCTATGTATCTGAAGCCATAATATACAAAATTATACCTATTTGAACACTAATACGTTTCTTAGGTTTAGTTCTTCTGGGTACTCCCCATTTCACTAATTTATTCTCGGCACTCAGCAATATTAGAATAATTACCCCACGCACATTGCATTTAACGTACAGTTCAGAAATTAGAGCTTTTCAAAGTTGGGTTCCAATATGAGCTACTTTCACTTTTAAAACAATGATGAACAAAGTGCAAAATGTTTACACGGGTTAAAGAAGTTTGGATTATTTGAACATTGTATTATTTTTATATATCTTATAGTCATCAGCGGTATTGCACTCACATAATAGGTGATTTTACTTAGACCAAGAACCGAAATTTGTAATCGTATTCGTAAGTACCGCTTTGCCATATAAACTGCACAATTTTGTCCCAACATCCGAAAGAACTGAAGCCATTCCATGTAAAGTAGTCTAAGGTTCCCCGAACGACAACCTCGGATTTTGATGAAAGTTTTGACGAGCATCACCCAATGTCCCCATGTCCAAATGTCCCTATGTCAACCACGTGTCCAAAGGAACAGTGACGTTGTGCCTTCAAAGGTGTAAGAAGAGTCGATATATAGCGGTTTGATTGACTCCATGGAGCGGCGTTGTATAGTTTGACAACCAGACAGACTATTGTACCGACTATAGACCACTATTTGTACAACCTTTTACACTCCATTAAATAAACTAATACCAATTTTGCCTTTATGGATGACACTTTTGATGAAACTAATATCCTATGCCTATGTATACACAGCACCTATATGTACACAGTGGGCACATTGCAGCAACCTCACCAAAACAATAGTGTTAAAAATTCCAGATTTTTACATTGAATAGTTACCTTAATATTTGTGTCAAAAAAGTGAAACTTGTCTCATAACATATTAACTTAACATTGTTTCTTAATGCAAAATTTCACGCCTTTAGCTGTTATCATTACTTCATAAATTTAGTTTCCAAATTGATTTTGGCAAAAAGCCCCACATAGAGAATTTTCAAACTTGTTTTACACAAAAGTAACCGTTGAAATTCCTTTCTTGAAACCTGGAAACCTATTTCTTGAAAAAGAGTATGATTTTAAGCTCCAAAAAAGTAAATATGATCATCCACCGGATGCAATGCCCAAAATGATGCCCAAAATGCAGTGTCGTTGTAGCTAAGTTGACAAAAAAACAAGTGTTCAATAAAAATTATTCAGTTTATTGTCATTTATGTGTAGTTTTCTCAATAATTAAGAAAGAAAACTGAATTGAGTACAGAATATCATATACCACTATTTATGAGTGAATAATTTTGACTTCATGGATGTTGCATTACTGTAAAAATTGAGTGTAAGGTTGAAAATGTTTGTGATACCCCTAAAATAGTGTATTTTACCTCAAAATAGTGTACGTTTAAAGAAAATTATTTTTGTGAAATGATTTCAAATATATCACAGTATAAATATCACATGTTGAAGTTTGGAAGTGACTGGGCATGTGCTACTCAGGGTCTACTGATATTGTATACTGAAGCGACCAGAAAGGGGGAGGGGAGCAACTTGCCCAAGGCCCCGACTGAATTGGGGTCCCGAATTTTTTTTCATTCAAAAGAAATAAAAATGCATTAACCTCTAATCTAAATTTAACGCAATACGTTATTTCTCATGAGTGACTTCTGTTTATTACTTGGGGAGGAGGGACTATTTTGTTTGAAATGGAAGGCTCCCATCGAATAATTGTCCCAAGCCCTGGTTATTTTTGTGTCCTGATTGTATACATGTTATGATTTACTTTTTTGACTAAAAATCACTCACATTTAAAACAATTTTACAGTGATGATGTTGATCTTAATTCGTGAATTCCAAAAAAAAGGTGAGCTAATGTTTGGATAAAACGTTTGGTATTACATCAATAATTTTAAAACATTAGACCATTTTGTTAATTATTTAGAAATATATATTAGCATATTTATTACATCTCTTGATTTTATACAAAATATTGATGTTTCCGGGTACGTCAACTGCTACGGTCATTAGTTTCCGTCGTGTAGAGAATGTTTTATCCCGGGATGTGGCGGTGTTTCCCTCCTTGCTGGGGCGATATTGCGTCGACCTAGGATTTCCTCTTCCACATATCTCCCCACAGCGAGGCACCCCACAGCCGGGACAAGCTCTATGCTCCCGACTGGCCTCCTGACATGTGATAGTATAGTGTATGTACATGTAAGTGTGTGTGTGTGTGTGTGTGTGTGTGTGAAGGTGGAGGAGGGAATAACGATCAGGATGGAAAGATCGCACGAGGTCCGTGACCCGTTTTTAGAGTACTGCTCCTGCATTTGCGTGGCAGTGATAGGAGAAACCCCGGAAAACTACCAATAAAATGGGCACGACGCTGGAATTCTCCTCCGGTCAGCGGTTGAATTCGAGCTAGCTATATAGCTAATTTCGAAAACCCGCCATCAAAATCCACCCTTACTCATAAGTAAGAGCCCCATTCCCATACCGTCATTTCTTGCGATACTTCTTCGATTTTGACCGTTGGCCAACCATATTTTCCCAAGCTGTCTGGTGTTGGAATTCGTGGCAATGAGACGATGTATTATTTTCCAGGATGGAATTAATTTCTAGAACGTTATATTTCCTTCGTTCACTATAACCGACGATCAGGTTTACTAGAACCAAATCTTGTGTTTGTAATGTACGAGTAAGTGAAACGGGACCAGAAACTTAAGTTCGCTGTAACCGACGGTTCACTATATCCCTTTATCACTATATTAAAACTAGCGCTTTAAAAAAGATGAATTACAATTTTTTTGAAAAATGAGTTGTTTTTGCGTAATATGTGCAAAGTAATAAGGAAATTTATAGAGAAAAAAACATTTTCTCAAAAATCGCTCCATTTTTTTTGTTTACGTATCGAACATGGAACACATCATGAAAAGCAAAGGTCTCATTTTAGTCCACCCCTGAATTATAAAAAATGGTAAATTTAGAAATAGTGCGAGAAAGTAGGTCGTAAGTGCTGTTGTAGCTTCACTATCTTCCCAATGCTTTTGTTTCGTTATTTGATTTTAAAATATTTTAATTTTTTTTTAATTTTAGGCTGCCGTATGACTTTTATTAACAATGATTTGTATTTTTGGAAGTAGTGGTACATTAATGAGATACGTTATGATACGTAGAAATTAAATTAAGAATTAATGTGGTTTTACATGATGCTCTAATCCCCAGTGTTATCCAAGTATTGTTTTTGCATGAAATGTTTAATATTTGTTTTTTGAGAGGAATATTATTAAAATAATATAAAAAGCTTCGAAGAAAAATGTCATTTTTTTTCAACAGAATTATAGATATATGCAGGTTTGTAATCTAATGGTTAGTGTATCGGGCTGTTATACCCAAGTGTGTGGGTTGTAGTTATACTGCATTAAAGGCATCTTTTATCCTCAAGTACAAAAGAAGCTTCCAAGCTCAAATCGCCTGCTTCGTGGCCCGAGCCGATTCTACCCTTCTTTTCCCGCTAGACGGTGAAATTTGCGGAGTCAGACGGAAGGGCACGCCCAATGCCCTGAGTCTCGCCACGAAAAATAAGTCATCATTGAATTGAATAGAAACCGCGTCTCATAACTTTCGCAGCAAGTAGCCTTTGAAAAATGTAGTTTTACTTCTAGCAAACAATGTTCACATTAGTACATTATTTTATACACCGATGTTCTCATTTCTTATAATTGGTAGAATTGGTGCATCGTGGTCACTGTATACTAATTCTTTCCTTTTCAATTTCTTTGCAATGGTCCACTACCGAGTGTATGTTTTCCTGTAAGCGTAATGCCTGGTGAAATGTTTTGCTGGAAGGAAATTAAGAACAAAGAATTTCTCTCATATCCATTTTTAATTATTAGCTTGCGTGTTCAATATCGCTGGATAGTGTTGGTCTGTTGAACCAGAAAGACAGAGTCGAGACTTAAAGTTTAGTGTTTTTGGCTGCACATTACAGATTACATGTCCAGGTGTTCAGTGGTCGTCCAAATTAATGTCATTCTGCTCTCCAATAATAACGACTGCGTCCTGATTGGCCAGTGTAATCGTGTGAGTGTCCAACTTTGCAGTTACGTCCACAAACCTCCCGTTACAAACATGGGAAACAGTAGCTGGAAGGTACTTTTCTATTGAGAATGGAGAAATGATGGCGATCACGGCTATCTGTTAAAATGAATACCTATTTTTTTGGGCTAGGAATTGATTTCAGGTGGGCTAAGACGTGCAGCTTTAGGGATTTTTGTTTTGAAGCGTTTCCCAGCCTCTTTGTGTTGGTTTGTGCGTGAATTGGTCGATGAAAGAGGAGATTTGTGAGGATAAAGAGAGCGAAGAAAATCTGTTTTGTAATCTAAAGCACTATTTTTTCAAGTTGTGACTGGATGTTTCGAGTGCACGATTCGGAAGATTTGCAGGGTTGTGACTTGTGCCCATCTGTCTGTGTAGTGAGCAATTACGTCCACCCTTCGTAAATATTCATCTAAAGAATTCTTGACCTCTGTAATACTATTATTGATCTAAACTAATGTTGAACGAAACTATTTTTTGAGCTTCAGCAGTTCTACTCCACCTCTTGCAATATGTAGTTAAATGATGAATAAAATTATCAACTAAGCGTGGTTAGCAAATTTTCATAACTATACATTGTAGCTCCCGATATTTTTTTTATCTCGAGTAGCTTTATCCACATTTCTCTTTCAGATATATGCATTTCTTTTTATTTCCGTTTGATTTTTTTCTGTAATAAAGGAAAGTGACGAATCTGAACCCAGTTCCTACTGCGAGTTCCTTGGCATACATCTCTAGATGGCGTTGTCGACAATATAAAGCAGTGCTTCCTTACATGACGAAAGCTTAGTCAATAAAGCTGGACGCATAACACTCATTCCGATCATTCTCGGCGACTAGACCAGCGCGCCGGGACCGCTATGTCCGAGAATGCTAGATCTGGCACTACCATTATCGAGAACGAACGATATCGATACTATTTATAGTAAGGGCACCAGATCTTAAAATCCAAACACGGAACATTTTGATTTTTTGCTTAATAAAAAATCGGGACAAAACTGCATACATGCACATAACGGGTTGGCTAATATAAAACAGAGTGATTACCAGTCTCTGTATTTGATAAGGAAAATGTTTGTCTGAAAATGAAGAAAAACACTCTTATTCATTAGAACGTTGATCCGTATTCCTTAATTCAGATTGCTTACTAAGTAACAGAAACTCATAGAAGTATATACATTGACCATAGCGATAAAGCATATACCAGCTCAAATGACGCGATAGCTCATTTTTCCTTGCTACAACCACTACGGAATCTCTCCCTTCTTGATTTCCTTTTTTCCTCGTTTCCCTTTCAAAACAATACGGACAGAGACTCAAAGAAAGGGGACTGTCGCCGAGAACGTCTGGTACCCTTATGTTCTAGAAAACTTATTTGCATCTGGAAACGAACTACAGATTTTATTTTTTAGCATTGTTAAAATAATAACCCACATCCTACTCCTATCGCAACTAGCAAAAAGAGAGGTTAAAAAAACGTGCGCATAATGAAGCTACATACATTTGATTTGAAACAGTGACTCGAACCTCGTTATGCCAAAATGAGGGAAAACTCTTTTTTTTGGTTTGCCTATTCGAATTCAAGACATCTATGATTCACTGTCTTTTACTCCATTCGTTGATATTTTCTACGTGATGTACTTACCAACACATGTTGGACGTCCACATACGTTCGGGTCTCTCAGAGGATCTGTAAACGAAAAAAAATATATTTTATAACAATATATACATTGTCCAGGCTTATAAAGGAACATCGTAAATCTTATTTTACTATTCGGACATACAGACTCGAAATTAATTTTAAATAATTTCGCCTGATGACTAACGGTAGTACAAGAACTGCATTTGTAGTGCTTAAAAATGTTTATTTCAGAGTTTGAGCATAACATATTCTATTCGCTCACTAATATCTCATTTTACTATTCTTCATCATCTTAGATATTTACGAGCTTCTTTCGTAGTCGAATAATCCCAAAGAGAAGCATGCTGTTCTTTATGTGCCCGGAACACCACCGCAAGCTGTTTTAGAGCTTCTTATCACTAGGTATTGAACTAACTTACAATGCAGCAAACTCGACCAGTTAGTTCATTGAAGTACTCTGGAGTTTACGCTAACCTCCATCCCAGGCTCTACATATTTCTATCAACTATTCCACCAATTTACATATTCCTGTTCTCTCAGTGTGCGAGTGAGTGGCAATTGATCCCGGACACGTCATCTACTACGGCAATTAGTCTCGTGAATGTAGTGCATGTTATATTCCGATAGTGGCGGTGATTCCTTCCTCCTAGGCCGATGAGACCGACCTCCATGTAGGCTTGCGGGGATTTCTCCATCCATATATCTCCCCCAACGAATCACCGCGTCAGCTGGGACAGGCTCCAAGCACCCGAATGGTCTCTGGACATGTATAGTGTCTGTAAGTGTAGGACAGGATGAAGATGGAAAGGTCGCACACGGTCCGTGGCCCGTTTTTTAGGGAATTGCAACCGGCATCTGTCTCGTATTGATCGATGAAACTACGAGAAACAATCGTTAACAGCCGTTGGCCGCTAGAATGTTCCTTCATACAGTTTTCCAAAATTCTATTGTTAGTGCGTCATTCTAAAATGTCTAAAACTAAAAGGAATAAAAGCACCTCTATTCGTCATTAAATATGCTAATTCTATTGTTTTTTCAAAGCATAGGCCAATCATTTTTTGTCAATTACGCTCGAAAAGGGAAGTACTCGGCAGGTAGAGGAGATGCAAGAAATTATAACGCCCATTTTCGCCGTTAAGAGGCAATTTTAGTTGCAAAATGGAAAATTTTATTTAAAAAATCCAAAATTGAGCTTTTCAGTAATTAGTGGTAGATTTTGATGAAATTTTCTTTTTTTCTTTTCCGATTAGAACAATGCCTTTTAAAATGACAAAAAGAAATAGTCCATTTTTATTTGGCACATTTTAGCATTTTGGCTCAATTTATCGATTTTAATATTTTGATGGTACTTGCTTCAAATAATATTTACGAGATGCAATGAATGTTCATCACAGAAATCCTAAGTAGCCTATTCGATTTCTTCGCTCAGTAATTGTAATGTCAGCCGTTGTGAGTATGTAATTTAAGTTTCTTTGGACGCCTATCAGCGCCATTATCGGTTCGGCCGATTTCGCGGTAACTAAAACCAGAGATTTCCTGATTAAGAACAGTCCAACCCAAAAGTTTGCAGTCTGCGTTTACTTGAATGAAAGGAAGAAGCCTCGATTACATCAGTAGCATATCCAACACTTTCAGTTGTTCATCGGAACTGGTTTTGATCACATTATTACGTAATTTTTCTTTGCTTTTAAGGCATTTGTTAACATTTTAAGAGCATTTTATTGATCATTATGGCGATGTTTTATCTAAATCCTCCCTTAGTCATAATAAATTGAAGCGCTTTTGAAACATGTTAAACTAATACGAACGAATCACATAAACTAATATTAATTGAATGAAAAGAAATAACTGTATTCAATCATACACTTTTCATTTAACATGAAACTCACATCGCTTCTGTACGACTGTGCTAAGGATCCGTGATGCATACGCAATACTCGCTCGATTATAATATTCGTATCAATCTTGTTTCAATCATAACTACTAGTATAATAAACCACATGTTCGTTACTTCTCAAATTCTATTATCGGGCCCTTCGCCCCTTGGGAAGTTCGGCTGTAGAACTGTTGAAGTTTCATTAAGATTTTTGACGTCCCTTATCTGGGGTTTATTTAGAGACGAGCGCCGATTGCAAGCAGCGCTTTCAGCCTCCGTGGCTCGTCACCGACCCGGAACTGGGGGGGGGGGGGGCGGGGGCGGTACTAAGGGTTAGCGGTGATAGGCGGCCGTGGTTTACCGAGAAATGCAGGCAGGGCAAAGAGACGTTAATGCCCGCGAGCCTGGGCTTTCGATGACTCGCTCTCCTCTTGTACAAACCGAGCGAAAACCTGCGTTGTTTGCGTGTTTCAGTTCTATATTTTTGTTGCGTGTAAGTAATGCTCTTTTATCCTCATAAAATAAAATGATAAAATGAAACAATTGCTTATTGTCCGTGTCAAAATAGCCTATCACAGGAGTAAGATGCATTTACGAAAACATCTATATTTTGCATGCCCAGTACTTTGTCCTCAACTAGGAAATTAATTATCTTTGACCATCTGTTTGTCCTACTGCATGACGTCGACTCCGATTTTCGAATTCTTGTGTTTCATTTGACCTCCTCTTAACGTCTGAAATGTCCTGATAATCAACGAGTTCTATTCAAAGCAACTAGGTTCAGCTACTGTATCTTTGAAATGAAGATACAGTTGATTTAGACTCTTTCATGAATGTAGACATTTCGGCAAATATCCGGTTGACGAAACTAAACAACCGTCGGCGAAATTTCCTCATATTTATTTGGTGAGTCCTTTAGGAATGAAAGATAAATGGCTACATTCAGTTCGGAAAGAAGAGAAGCAAGGAAAACAAAATTTATAAAGGCAAACAACAACTGGTCAATAGAACTGTTTAGCTTCAATCTAAAACAAATTTTTAAAATAATTGTAACGCTTTAGAGACTTTTGTATCCTCTCTACATAAAATATTATATTGGATCGTGCACGTACCAATATAAATTAAACTAAATTTAATTAAATTCAATTCAACTATTATTATTATTACTATTATTATTATTATTATTATTATTATTATTATTATTATATGATAATCATCATCATTATCACAGCGTCTTGCAGCAGCAAAAATCCTATTGAACAAAACCACACAAAATGGTTTTCCAAAAAGTTGCACGTACACATCTCAAGAACAACAAATAAAATACTCTCGTATTACACAACAATCAATTAAACATTTTAACAGAAACAATTTTCACGAATACTTCAATAACATAAGGACGGTGAATAAAGGAAGAAAAGAGTAATTTTGACAAAATTTGATAACAAGAAATATTCGTTCCCGTGTATTGTTTGCATCGACAAATGAGTTGCAAATTTTGGTACTTTTCTGTACTGCCTCAAAGAAATATGCGAAACTGGTTCAAAGGAGGAAAAAAGTAATTCTATGAATTTGTTAAATTAAATTTTATGCGTTTCGTTCTCAATTTATCATTAATTGAAAATTTGTTAATTTGATGTACACGCTCATTCTGCAAAACAAACTATTTCATATGAAACATTTGTTAATGTGTAATCTCTCAAATTGTCAGATGGTATACTAATGCTGCTTCGAACTATTTTCAGTTAAACACTGGAGGCAGGTAAATTCGCCATGTTTTTTCTGTCGCGCTTCTCATTGCACTGCTTCCATGTGAGGACGCGGACGCAAAGAGAGCCACGGCACGCAGCGGTGTTCGGCGGGGAAGCCTACCTTGTACCTACGCACCCTGGTTTGTCAGGGGTTTTGCAAAAATCCCCGCCGGTGTATGATGGTTGTGTCGGGGTGGGGTAGATCGAACACATCTCTTTCCCGCACGGCGCGCCAGTCCGGGTTGGGGGATGGTATGATGACGATGATGAAGATGATGGTGGTGGTGATGAGAAGGAGGAGGAGGGACCGCTAAAGTTGGCTCAGAGCATCAACTGATGTCACTGATGATGAAGATGGTGGTGGTGATGGTGGTGGTGAGAAGGAGGAGGAGGGAGCGCTAAAATTGGCTCAGAGCATCAACTGATGTCATTGCAGTGCCTCAGATCGTGAGACCCTAGAGTT